CAAACTGTACATGCACAGAGACTGTACTCTAAACACAGTTGTGTTTTTCACTGTATTGCCATCTTGTTGGAAAGCACAAGTCCTGCCTCCTGTCCAAAACTGGTGTGAGAAAGATCCAGAAGTGAGTGCTATCAGAATGTTGTAACAGAGCAAAAGCTGTACAATTAGGCACTGTGGAAGGAAATACAATAAGGCGTGTTTTCAAAGGGTGTGTGCACATGTATGTATATGCATGTACGTACACGCACATATATACACATACATAAATAGTTTTTGGCAAAATGACAGTTTCATTTAAATATCAATGCAGTGAAAACACCAGCAATTTATATGATACAAATCAAGGGTAAAAGCCACGGGGAAAAAAAGCAGCAAACATTCTAAGTAGCACCTGTATCTCAGGGATGAGCTTTTGAATTTCAGTTCTCCCAGTTCAAGGCAGAGGTTTGTTTACCCATCAGAACAGATTTTAACCAACTGGTCACCTTCTCTCATATGTGATATTGGGCTATTTCAAAGGAACCATGATTTTCAGGACCCTTCTCTCCCCAGTGCTGGCAAAGCTTAAGTAGGACACTAGTAAAAGGTCAGGAGAGTGTATCTCAGCAGGAGAGATACTAGTTGTGCTATCTGTGCTTGCCATGATTTATAGGCAAGGACAATGGAGAGAGAATGAAGGAGTGTGTACTCAGGATAGCAATGAGCCTGTCTACAGTTACAGCTCCTGGTCCTGTGTCCCTCACATTCATTAACTAAACTGGGCCTCTTCCCCACCACCATTGCTACTACATTATTTAAAGTACTTGGCCTGTGACCACTAGGTTACTCAAAGAGTCAGTATGGAGACTCATCTATCTGCCCACTGTCATGAAAATTATACTGCCTTGTTTTGTTCAATGTAAAGACCGAGTCTAAATGTTTTGTATTAACTGCAAAGAGTTATCTCCCTCTTTCATTCAGGTCTTACATACTATGCAAGAAAATACTAGGCCTTCTCAGACACCATGTGTGATGAAAATGTAAAAAAAAAAAAAAAGAAGAAGAAAAAAAATATTCTTGATACACTGGGCTTTGCAGAACCTGAAAATGGAACATCTTAATACAGGGGCTAAAGAGTGAGCTTCTCTTTTTAAAAGCTTTACAGGGGGTTTCCTGTCTCAACTGCCCAGGAATCTGTTTTGGCATCAAAACACAATAATCACCACTTTACAGTGCATAGAGATCTTAGATGCCAAGTGTCTTTTTCTTAAGATATGTTTTCATTCCAGTGTGGCACTCATCTACTCAAACAATATGGCAGTTGCTTTCTTGGAAAAAAAAAAAAGAAAGAGAAAGAAAAACATAACTCAGAGACTTCTTGTCCTGTAGGAGTCGCGTTACAGGAAGGATGCTGGATGAGGCATCCTGGGAAATAAAGTCCCGAAGTACTCCCACACATGGGCAGTGAGAAACCCAGGGTGATGGGTCAAGGGAGCCACGTGTTACTTTGAACCCACATATATAAGGTGTTGTTTCATTTGAATAAAGCGGATTTGGCTCAGAACCCCCAACCAAGCTAGCCAGGTCCGTGTAATTCATTTATGTGTTATACTGATAAGCCACATTGTCCTCCACCAGGACCTCCTCTGGAAGTTGCAAAAAGAATACATTCATACTTCAGTGTCACATTGCTACCATGATGCTACCCCGAGACAGGCTTGTACAGAGTTCCAGGGATGGAAAATCTCCTAAGAAGGACATGCCACACTAAGGGGACCTCTGATTAAAATACTGTGATCTGCGAGTTTCGTGTTATTTCAGAAAACAGATACTGAGCAAAAGGGAGAGACAGCCAGGTCCTTAACAATCCAAAACCTTGAAACACTGTCAGCTACATACTGAAGGGTTATATATGTCTAGAAAATAATAAGACAGGTTTATTTACTTGGGTTGCAGAAAACAGCACCAGCAATCTTAAAATTTATGCACATTTTCTGTAACAAAAAGTCAAGTTTTCCTTTCTGTTACTGTCAGCAACTGGAAAGTAAGATCATGCATTCTTTCTGCTGCCCCAAGGATACAAAGCATTTTCTCTGTCTTTCTGGACAATTATGAAGCAGCATTTTATTTCAGATTTCCTCTCTAATTTGTGAGATTCATCCAGGGAATGCATACCCTCAAATACAACACTTCATTCCTCCTACTGGTATTGCTGGTACCAGGATGCCAGAAGAGCTCCAGCTGATCCTTCATGCCCAGGGTCTGAAGCAGACCATTACCTGTGTTTAATGATCAGGAAGACAAGGATTTTAGCTCTGTACTATCCAAACTATCTCCTTTATAGCACAAATCCAGTTTGCATGTCGAATAAAAGTTAAGTTGTAGTCCACACTGTGGTACTTGAAGAACATCCCTGAAATTAAATTAAGAATTTAAACAATTAAGAAGAGGTTTCACTGAAAACAGGAGTCAGTCCTCCAAGTGCATCTCTACCAGAACATAAGAACAGATAGAATCACTAGATAGGAAGGAGAGGCTGCAGGCACCTGCCATTTTTCCATGTCTCTCTAGCTTTAGCTGTATCATTCTGTTGCTATAGATGACTCTCTTGTAGCACCCACATTCACACCTTTGTCTGCACCACAACTGGAAAGTAGAAAGCACAGGCAATGATCAGATGTTGCTAAAGTTGGCCAAGTGCTTAGAGTACAGACTCATCAATGAGACCCAGTAAGAACTCCTCAGCATGTAACTGGCTCCATCACAAAATGGCTTTTGCATATTTAAAAGTTAAATTTAAGTCCCCTGAAGCAGCTGGAGATGTTTTTCTAGACACACTGTCAAGAGGAATGCTCCTAAAGCTGACACTAGAGTGATGGATTCATGCCACCCATAGCTGAATTAGTTACTACTGTGCAACAGAGGACAAGTAAGCCCACTGTCTGGCTGAGTAGGCTCTAGGCAACATGGCTTAAGTAGCTCCAAGCAGCAGATACAAGTGGCAAAATAATGCAGGCCCCACCCCCTGCCCACGAGTGGCTCACAGGGCCCCTTGAGTATGATGACGACCTGAGGTGAAAGATTCAGTCCCTGGAGAACGATGGTGAGATGAGCTCAGCAGAGATGTGAGTGAAGAACAACATGACAACAAGCCATGGACAGCAGATACATGTGCATGGCAGGACCAGCACACCTGCTCCAGCACCAGTCTCTAGCACGAAGCTGTAAAAGGAGTACTGGATCTCCACACCTTCAGCAGATGAATAAACACAGAGCATCTGAAGAGCACACGCTCATCCAAGTAAAAAAAGACAGCCACTGCATCCCTGGGCCCACACCTGATAACAACACCATCAAGGACTTGAGAAGCTGTATCGGGGGTTAATTACGCTGATACTTTTGGTCTGCGTTTGGCCCAGCCACCTGTAAAAGTTTTGTTCTTTCCTTGCCGAGTTATGAGAAAACAAGCACTGATAAAACGGAAACTTCGTCCTTGGAGAAAGTTCTTGTATAAACTATATTTAATTGCTATTTTATGATTGGCTGATCGTCCTCCAAGGTTGCTCGGATGAGAAACTGAAGACTAGGGGTATGAAGTAAACCTCTAGACTCATTTGGAAAAGATCCCCCGGGTGCAGTGCGCAGGTGCGGGGAAAGCCATGCATGCGCAGAGGAGATATCACTTGCATCACGAGGGGTGGGACTGGGGGCCTCTGGCTGGGCAGTGCTGGCCACACCTGCCTAGGTTGAAGTCACTCAGTTAATTGTATAAAAGCAGAAAGCTCTTTCTTGGAGAGTAGCTAGCTTCACATCAAGGATAATGTTGCCTTTTGGCGGGGACGCCTGCCAATTTGTGAACTTACTGACTCTCCAAGGATGCACATTCTGCAATGGGTAATTATAGGCATGCTAGGTTGTTAAGATAACTTTATGGGCAACAGCTGGGTGACTGGGGAGGTCATGCTGGGGGCTTATTTCTCTCCTCCTTCTTCACTTTTGGGTTTGTTCGTTTTGTTGGCCACCTCTTGGTAATATATATGTTTTGTTGAGTTTTCAGTGGTGTCATGGTTTCAGATTTCAGTATGCTCTGAACGCTCCCTAATAAAAGAAGCCTAGACAAGTAAGTGAATTTTCATGATGGCTCTCGAATTCCCAGTTATTTGAAGCCTACAGCATGTTACATGCACACTACAGGCTTCAACACTGCCCAAGGCTCCTCAGAGAAGCTATGCTGTACTTCATCTCTAACAGATGACTGTTCTAATTCACTTAACACTAAGTGGTACTTCTTTTACACTAATTAGTGATGATTCTTTTAGTCTCTGAGCTTGCTGTTATATAATAGTCCAACTGTGACAAATTCATGAAAAAGAAACAGCACAATTAAAGACAATAAGAAAAATCTGGTGTCAAAGATAATGGTTTCAGTGACAGAAAAAAATTGGTATACCATAATACTACCTTGAGTATTCTTATTTCTTTTTTACATTAGTGTTGTAGCTGCTGAAATTCAAATGCCTTCTAAAACAGGCTTTGGCTGACTAATGAGAAACTAAGTTGCAGCTGAAAAATTGTTCTACAGGTTTTTTCTCCTTCATTCATACTGCCCAAGTACTGTTGAAGTAAACTCTCTGAAATATTTTGACTCAAGTGTTCTAGTACTTTCTCTCTTTCCAGTGCACTGGGCTCCTTTTATAGAAATAATCTCTCCTGTGTTTTGTGTTTTTCTCTTTACGGTAGTACTGTTTCAGCTGTGCTATTTGGACTGATCCAAGTTCTCAGCAGCTCATGTCTTTGCCTTCTTTTGGTTAGGACGCTATTGTGAACATTAATTTAAAGGAACACATTTTCAATAATGGAACAACTCACCAAAATTTATCTATGGAATGATTTTCTTTAAGAAGGAGCTAGAAGGAGGGGAAGAGTCTTTGTGAAGGCAGATGCAGAAATCTCAGCATCTTGGAATCTCTGTTTGGCTGGAAAATGGAAATGGCTTATTGAAAAGCAACCCAAAGTAAACATTTCAGATGAGACAAGTGTTACATGATATTTGTGACAATGAGGCACTATCTTTGAAAGACAAAGTAGAACCCAGTACTGTCAAAATGTAATGAAAGGCACGCTCGTATAGGCAACACTCTTCAGGAGTTGTCTGCACTTGGTTTTACTGAACCAGCTTGGTATCTACAGTAGGTGTGCTGCATCACTTCTGAACACAGGTCTCCACTTAGCGTCCTCCTTCAGAGACTGACATGCTATCCATTTTCATCTCTCTCAGGCTTCCAGTTTTTTTCTGTTTCTGCTTGGATTTTTTCAACATATGGACCTAAAATTGAAAGTTTTAAAAGAAAGTGAGTGAGTATTAAAAGACCTGTAGTAACCAATAAGCTGATCTAAGGCAACTAACTAATAACCAAGTAAAATGCTGGAACTGCCACAGAAAAACACTGAAATACACAACTATCTGATGCATCTATCCTTATAAAGCTACAGGATTAACTGGTTTTTTTTTTACATAAACATATACACACATGTTATATGTATGCATATAGATGTATATGTATGTATGTGCATATATATATTCCTGTACAGTCATATACATACACATATATACAGATAACAGTTCTAGTCACTAACTTGATAGAAAGATAAGAAACGTTTCTCACTGAAGGGCAAGTTAGGTTTGTTCTCCCTCTTTCTTTGCATGTCCCCCCCTTCTTCTCAGGAAAAGAATAAAGTTTAACATATTCTGAAACTTTGAGATACGACCCTCTCTTTCAACCATTTTCCTTCTGCAAGGACCATTGTCCTGGTAGCTCTCCCAGGAGAGCTACAATTCTTTGAGACTGTCAAGACTGTCTGTAGTATCACATTTCTGCAAGTTGAAAAGGCATTCTTAAAGTAGCAGGCAAATGTGTAGACTGGTGTGCACCACAGTCAACTACTGCAAAATGTTTATTTCACAACTTCGAAGTCAATAGAGAAGCTAAATTCTTAGGCAGCCGATACTGTCTTCCTTTTACATACACATTGAGATATCAAGGAAAAACAGACACTGATTACTCCAAAGTTTCTTTTTTGCAGACCCTGCTCATCCATTATTCATTTTTCTCCTTTCCTACTCTGCGACAAACCTTCACTTCTCCAGCAAACTGATGCCTACTTTGCACACTGCAGTACTATCATGGTCCTTATAGCTGTGACCTGCTTCAAGGCAAGCAACACTGCCTGGAAATCTCAATACGGAGGAAAAAATTAAGTCACTAGGCTGAAGCTCAGGGACTATTTTTTTAAACACAAGCCTCATCTCAGCCGCTGGAGAGACCCCTCAAAATACATTCTGTAGAAACTTGCTATGTATTTATCCAACAGTTACCACATGTGCTGACTAGCTCCTTTAAGGCTGAGCACCAGAACACAACAGGCAAGCAAGATAATATGATAACATCCAGTAGAGGAACAAAGTTATCTTGCTAAGAGAGACCTACAGCCAGTACCTTTGGTCCTGCAGCAGAAATTATAATCTGGCCAGGGGCCTGAATCCAGGGCTCTCCATCAACTTGAACTGGAATTGGCTTAAGGAGTGTTACACGAAAATATGAGCCTTGGGCTATGCGGATTCCTGATCGAAAACCACCTTGGACTTGACCCTGTTAGGAAGTAAAAGCCAGGATATCTATGACCCCAATTAACAAGAAACACAAATACTAGCTGTGATTAAACTGGGTGGATAGTATCTTATTCTCACCTGACATTTTAAGTTTCAAGTAAAAGAACTTCTTAGGCAAAATCTGCACAGGATGCCTTTAGTGCCCTAGCATTAATTATTCCAGTTTAGTGCAGAACTTGGACACCCCTGCAGGCTGCTGGAGGCAAAACAACTTCCACAGCAAAGCTGTTTGTACTCCAAAGCAACAGGTACACTCCTTGCTGCTTCTGCTTTCATGGAAGATTTAAGGATCTCTACCAAAATACTTCTTCAGTGTCTTTTAAAAGATCTAAATTAAAAAATGGTAAAGTTGGCCAACACCAAAAATGGAACTGCACAAAGTTTTAAGCACTCACCTTTCAATTTTTGGTTATTTTATAGATTAGTTATCTCTAGTTACCTGACTGCATATACTTTTTCAGCAGCAGATTTCTTTAAATAGTGAAAAAAATACGAATAAAAGACAAAAATAACCTGCCCTTCTACAGGACTGTGTTACCAGTAGCAGGCCACTGTATGGCCTGCTACGTAATATGTCATACATCAAAGAATTAAAGTTCCATAAGTTGAGTCATAATATTCTTTGCAGGATGGCATACCATCTGCTTCACGCAGCATTCAGATCAAGAGCAGCTAGCACCAGATTCTCAGCAACAACGGCTGGAAACCCTGTGGCAGAAAATTATAAAGCCACCTGTCTAGAAGGAATCTCCACCCTGATTGTGATGAGGTACAACAAGATTTTTTTGCAAATACATTAGGTGAAGAGTGCATGTTTTTGCAGTATTAGAGTAAGGTCTTGTTTTCATCCCATGAACTGTTTGGTTCTGACACCATGTTATGAGAAAGCAAGTGCATTCTACAATACATACATATATATGCATTTAATATATATGTATGCATGTAAGTTTCTGGACTTGGTTCAAAGTCTAGTCGAGTTATGAAGCATTGCCCCACCTGCTTTTAACAAGTTCTTCACACTCCTATTACTTCCTATCCAAGAGGCATCATTTTTAGGACTACGCACTTGCAACGCACTGTTTATTACAGAAATGAGTCTGTGTGAAAGAATGTGTGCTTCTTCTGTGCTTGCTGGGATGCCAGCTTACCATGTGAACGACGCCAGTCACACCAACAACTTCCAGCAGTCCGTCGTCGATGCGCGGCTTCTCGAAGCGATTATCGCTGTCAGAACCCCAGAGATCGGCTCCAGAGCCCCAGCTGTGCAGAGAACACACCACAGTCACCACCCACCACCCCTGCCTCAGGGCACCCTCCCCGGTACCCTGCTGGGGTGGCTGGTTTGACAGGCTTCCAAAGCCAGACGCTCTGCTCCCCTCATCAGCTGGAGGGATTGCAGTTCCTGCGTTGTGAAAACAGCAACTGTTTTTCCTAAAATCTGGAAGAATTCTGATAAGACCTTCTGGTGGTAAAAGAAGGAGTGAAGTAAATAGTTTCCATTGGAAAGAAAAAAAATGTAAGTAAGAAGAAAGTAATTCTGAAGAGTTTTAGTTTGCTCGGAAATACAGGTTACAGCTTCATTAACCCTTACCTTTCAAGACTTAAGAACTTAACATAGCTCGTACTGGCCTTGACAATATTCACAGAAGCTACTGAACAGAAACTAAAGCTAAAACAAGTACGAAGTTTTTATTCTTGTAGCTGGCCAAACTCATTTGCAGTTACTAGCAAGTATTCATGCACTTCAATCCTCTGACACGCTTCTGACAATTAAACACTATGTTCCTTTCCGTGCAATACTGCCCCTCCTCACTCAAATCACTCGCTTATTGTTTTTGTGCACAGACTGCTTGTCACTAATCGTGATTTTTTTCTTCTACACAGTTCTCATGTGCAATGTATATTTGTGTATGTGTATGTGCACAGGTGTGTATACGCATAAAAATACATATTTGAATAAAAAGTTGAAACATTTTCAGACTAAAATGCAAAGAGATACGGGTTGCTTAATATAAGAGGGTACTTGAAAAATAATAGTATGGCAGCACTAATTACCTGCCGGTTTTGTGCAAACAAAAAAACCTTCCTCTACCAACAGTACATCTAAGGAAGCCAGAATTCTGCAGGTATGGCTTCCTTTCTTCCATGGCAGTAAGTCTAGCTCCCTGCAGGTGTCAGGGCAGCACCCACAACCCCGCAAAAGGTAGCTGAACTGAGGGTTTTCAACAGCTACCCAGGCAGCATCACAGACTCCATGTATATTGACCAGCTGCCTGTATGACTTAGGCAGTGTCTGACAGTTGAATTCTGTCTGGCCTTCACTTTGGAACTGCTTAGGTCCCTGCTCTCTAGCACGTCAGAAAGCGTGTGCAGGTCAATCATCTTTCATCCTTCCACATGTCACTGTGAAATCCAGTCAACTATTCAAACAGTGGAGGGAGAGGGAAAGATGACAGTGGACAGAAGTCATGGGCCTAGAGCCATGCCTAAAAAGCCATGTTTTGCTAGGAAACTGTGCCAAAATAATTCTGAAGACCTTTGGTGGGGAAATTATTCCAAATTACTGCTAGGACAGAGAAGAAATAGCAAATGTATGGGGTTTGCACTGGGAAAACAGGATGGTATAACCTTATTATCATAAAAATGCCACCTTTATGTGGAATGAAATTGTGAGTTTCAATGAATCACAAAAACAATGTCAAAATAGTATTAAAAACTAGCTCTTTACATATAGTTGCAAAGTCAGCAAGTCATGCAGTAATCAAAAATACCCAGTAACAACCACCTACTGATCTAAACCGTTTAACATTTTATCTAACCATCTGACATTTGATGTTCAAATACCAAGCAGCAATTCCACACATACAGCCAGGCATGCCTCCACAAGGGATCCTTCCTCTCCTTTTTACCTGGGTATATTAATAAAAATGAGTCCTTCTATACTTGGTAACTCCACCTCGTGCTGGTCCACTTGCAGCTTTATGTCCTTGTGAAGGTTTCTAGTATGACTTATCTTCTGCAGCCCAACTTTCACGTAAACTCCTTTGTTGTGAAACCTAGGAGCAGACAAGTACCTTGTAAATAAAAAGTGAGGCCCAGCATACCACTCTTCTTGTATTGTCCTCTAGCAGGTATGTTTAAAGACTTTTTCAATTAGCATCCTCTTCAAATTCTTCTAGCTTTACTGCAGAAACAAAGCATAAGCCATGAACTGCTACTTTATATACCTTTTACTTAAGAGATGATTGCGCTGTCAAAGCATGTGGAGATTGTGAATTTTATTACAGAAAAATCATCCCTTTTAAAGCATTGCCTGAATGCAATGCCTCTTTGAAATGTAAACTTCTGGGTTGGAAGATTATATTTTTAGAGGTCTTCAGGACACATTTTAAAGTGTTTTCTCATGCAATGCTAGAACACTTATGGCACAAAAACATTTTATAATCTTTGCTCATTAATTTGAAATATACTTAGCTGCAGAAACTTAAAACAGGCTTAGGAGTGTTAATTTGTGACAGAGCTCTAACATCTCTAATTTTAGAATTAAAAAGATGAGGATTTTTATGGCATCTCTAGAAATGGCAAAATATTTTAAGAATAACATAAACAAATGATAGTTAAACACACAGACTATTTTCTTCTATAATGGAAACGTTTGGATATATGGCCTTCAGGGCAACCTTAAAATAAGAAGCATAAATTTTCATTATTTGACCCTACTAGCACATGGGTGTCATTGGAATCCAACTCTGCAAAATCTCTCTAGCATTATGTCTAAATACTGTAGATATTCAAGTGGGGAAGACAGACAGTTTAGCATGCAGGTTCTAGTCAACTCTTCAGAGACTTTTTCAGTTATTTTAAATTATTATACTGGGAATAATTAGTCCTGTGTCCTAACAGTTTTAAATAGCACTGAATTAAAGGTACCTCATGTAACACCATTTAACATATACTTCTCCTCCAGATAAGACGTGTCTATGCTAAGAAAGGTTTTGTCTAATTTGGATACAAATGAAAAATACTGGAATAGCACTAGGAAACATAATACTTTAAATATCCCCAAAGAGTATTAACTTTCATTGCATGAAGCAGAAAGCCTGCAGAAACTGAAAGAATACAACACAGTGCCCTAACTGCAGAACACTGGTCTGAAACAACTGTAAAACAATTCTAAACGTGCATTAAATTGTGCAGAATATTCTCTCTGTCTAACCTCACATCCAGGTAAACTGCTTGCCACAGCAGTCTCCTGCCATTTTGGATGGCACAAACAAGATGTGGCCTCTTCTGTGACAGGCCATCCTAAAGACTGCTCCAGTTGGAATGACTTGGATGAAGGGGTAGATGCCTTCACTGCTGACACAAAGGTTGGAGGAGTGGCTGATACCCCAGAAGGCTGTGCAGCCCTTCAGAAGGATATTGACAGGTTGGAGAGTTGGGCAGAGTGGAACTGTGTGAAATGCAACAAAGGCAAGTTGCGGGTCCTGTACTCGAGGAGGAATAACACCATGCACCAGTACAGGCCTGGAGAGCAGCTCTGTGGAGAAGGACCTGGGGGTCCTGGTGGACAACAAGCTGTCCATGAGCCAGCAGTGTGCCCTTGTTGCCAACAAGGCCAATGGGATCCTGGGGTGCATTAGGAAGAGCCTTGTCAGCAGGGGGAGGGAGATGATCCTGTCCCTCTATTCAGCCCTGGAGAGGCCACATTGGGAGTGCTAAGATCCAGTTCTGGGCTCCTCAGCACAAGAGAGACAGGAGCTCCTGTCCAGTGGAGGATAATAAAGACGATCAGGGGACTCAAGCAACTCTCTTATGAAGAAAGGCTGAGGGAGCTGGGCCTGTTTAGCCTTGAAAAGAGATGACTGACAGGGGACCTCATCAATGTCTCTAAGTATCTGAAGGCTGGGTGTGAAGAGGATGGAGTCAGACTCTTCTTGGTGGTCCCAAGCAATAGGACAATAGGCAACGGGCAGAAACTGCTGCACTGCAAGTTCCACCTGAATATGAGGAGGAACCTCTTTACTGTATGAATGACCTTGCACTGGAACAGGTTGCCCAGAGAGGTTGTGCAGTTTCCCTCACTGGAGACATTCAGGAACTGTCCGTACGCAATCCTGTGCCATGTGCTCTGGGATGACCCTGCTTGAGCAGGGAGGTTGGACCAGATGACCCACTGTGGTCTTTTCCAGCCTGACCCATTCTGTGATTCTGTGAATGAAGGCAGATGTCCTGATCATTAAATTTTACACTGTGAAAAGAACTCACACAGCTTGGCACTCAGCGATGCAAAAACCATCACTGTCACAACATACACTACTTTTATCTGCCCTGCAATGCAAGTTCAGCATTAAATTCCCATAGGGAAGTCATCACTGCACTTTGAGCTGCTAGCCAAAGGTAAGCAGTCCTGAGCACATAAAGAGACTCCACTGAGTGAGGCAAGAGAGCACACAGCTTTTGGGACATTTTCCAGTTTAAGGTCTTGCTTCACAAGAGCACTCAAGCCCATATTTCTTCCAAAGAGTACCTGGAATTTCTGCTGCCACAACCTGAAACTTCCTGTCCTGCACTCAGGAGCAGCCAGATCACATGCCAGCAGCTGCTACATCAGATACCCTTTTTAGTTAATTTACTAAAAATAATTTTAAAAAAGCGCTAATAATGCTGACAAGACTGTGCACTTGCTTACCATGGGAAAGTGCAAAGCCAGCCCTTTTAACAGTCATTGTCACAGGCAGTCAAAGGTAAATATCATGTATCAGCACTGTTAACCTGCACAAGCTGTTTGCCTTCTGCGAAAACGTACCTCAGTTTCAATCATTATTTCATATTTCTTTTCCAGAAATATATAGCCCTTCAGATTTGAGGGAGGGGAAGGGGGAATCATCTTTCCCACAAGCCCTTCAAGAATGGTACCAAGTCATTGCCCACTGAGCTGCAGGTGCAGCACACTTGGAACTGACTGAGATAAAGATTACAGGGATGAAAAGCACATAGGACAATAGAAATCAGAGTATAACCCTTATATGCAGTAGTAATAAGAAAAGGACATATCTTTTGAAGTACTGCTGCTTTGCAAACACAGAGGAGTTTATTCTGAAGAAAGAACGAAGATAACTCTTATATTATATTAACTGCAAAAGAAAATCTAGAAAAGTTTCATACACTAGAACAGGCACTGCCATACACTAACTTATTGCCTGATTTTACTACCTACAAAATCTTTAATCCAGTTGACTGAAAATGCAAACCAGTGCCTAACAGTAACCATAGAAACGATATCGTGTGTTATTCAGTTTTTAAGAAAAACACCATGAGCAATGTCTGTAATGACAGACAGAACACAGCAAGACAGGTGGGATTACACATCATTACACTCATAACCAGCTGGAGGATATTTTTAATAACTTGAACACTGCACAGTTGTAGCTGACCGTAACTCTGGCAACCAAGACACAAATTAGAGGACATTTAATCATAGAGGAAAGCAGACAAAACAGCTTCTACAAGCAATTACAGATTAATTACACAATTGTGATTTCTTTTGCTCATCAATTTGAGTGATTATGAGAAGAAAAAAAGTCCCATTATTGTTTGATCTGCATGCCAGAAAGGAGGAAGGTCTCTCTCAACACCTCTTTAATAACAGTCACACTTGAGATGGAGATTTTTTTCTTTATCCTTAATACCAGCATGCAGGTGCTACCACAGCACTAAGCAAGGGTGTAAAAGGTACAGAAGTTCTGAAGAAGTTTTGAAAAGACTTTTAGCACGAGATATTTCCACTACCTCAAAATTTCACTGAACTCAACACGGCAAACTAAGAATACTAAACAACAATGACATGGCTTCCAAAAACTGCTTTGGTGCTCTCTCTTTGTAGAGGAAAAAACCCCAAACCAAAGCAAACAAAATTCTGTGCCTACAAATTCCTGGCTAACTTAATTCCTCCCTGTCCTAGCTCTGCCTCAAGCAACACTGATTTGTGGATAACTGTAGCATTTAAGATTATCAGCTGTAGTGTAAAATGGAAGTAATGCAACACCACAGAGCTGATCTTCACACCTGGTTTCCCCAGGATTACCTGCTATTAAATTTCCCTGGTTCTTCTTCTCTAGCATGATGGAAGTCCAAGCTCAACTCTGCATCAATGCCAAGACCACAGTAATTGTTCATCTGTACAATCTGATAAAAAAAAGAAAAAAGGTTTTATTTCCTGCTTAAATTCATAAATGAAGAAGTTCCAAAGTTTTTCAACAAAAGCAAGCTTTGCAGATGATCCTTCCAAGTCACTTGCATCTTGACAGATACTGGAAAACATTTTCCAGAAACATTGCACTAAAAATAAAGCTGTAGGAAAAACTGTTGATATGCAGTCATTATTTCCAAAGTATCAGAAACTTCAAAGTTTAATTTTAATTAAAAGTGACAGGCATAAAAAGGCAGAAATAAAAACTAATGCAGAAATAAAACCAATCAACCTCTCAAAGGAATTCAGTGCAATAACTTCACAAATTGCTGGACACTAATGCCACTATTATTTTTGGCATCAACCATGGATTTTTCATTACATCACTAGGAAGATGCTCTTCCTTATTTTGGAAGGTGACCAACTTACATCAGAGTGTAGAACTTGACTTCACCTACTCAGCTGTGTTTTATATAGCTCCCTATATGCCAGTCTCCAGTTTCTACAAATTTCTACCATTTCTGCCATTAATTCTTCCTTTGTATGCCATAGCTTTTTTATCCTAGTCCTTGACTCTCTCACCCTTCACCTTTAAAAAGCAGATTAGGCACCCAGGGAAAATCAACCCCTGTCTCCAGCAAGTGAAAAATAGTTGGAACCTGAGTAACTTAAATCCTCCAACTGACTCATAATGCCTAGGATTTTCCAGTGACCAGACTAAAGGCTTAGATAATTGCTACCATTGTTACAATTTCCTCCTTTTTTTTGTCACTCCCTTGTCCAATTTCTTCTTTTTGTCTGAAGACAGACAGAACCAGGATTCACATACAGCTCTGAAGTCAACATCTACAACCAACATTTTTATTTTCCTAAATAGAAACAAGTTAATATGGACCAAGGAACAGTGACTTCCATTCAAAAAAGATGCCACATATACAGACATGCAGTGGCAGTAAGATGGCAGAAGGATGTACTTTCTGTATATGCCAGCAACAACTAGTAATTTCTTAAACTGTGAAAGGAAAGATGAGAGTACCTTTTGAGGAGGGGGGTGTTTTTGGGTTGACACTCCAGTTTTACAAGTGTTCTGGAAACTGTCTGGTATTTTTTCCAAATCTTTCTCTTATCTGAGAAATAATTTTCTTTCCAGCTGAAGCAGATAGGTGTGGCATTGCCATGCGAATCTTTTCATTAATCCTCTATCAGATGCTTTTTGCCAAACAGCTATGAAGCGTGCTCTGCAGTCAACCAGTCCTGCCCAGACTGAAACACTAGATCCAGATGTTGCTGTATTCACTAAGAAACAGCTCAGTGAGGCCCGAGTGCAAAGCCAAGTGAGCAAAAAATTAAACTATGTTAATATCCATCATCCTTGTGATTTTTGATAGAATAACAGTTCCTAAGAATCAAACCCAAATGGTACTCAGCTCACCTTTGGAGGCTCAGGTTCTCCAATGCCATTCTCTGCACCTTCAGCCGGCTCTTCCGCATCCAAAAGGATAGTCCAGCGGTCCATAAGAACATCATCTGCCTCATCCACAGAAACCAAAATGGAGTATGGGTCCTCCCCACTGTAGCCAGCTCCCCATCGCAAGACCCTCCCCAGGTCATTACCTGGGCAACAAGAAAGAATGCCAAATTAAGAGTGTACTTCACAATTAGCGCATCAGCCCTGTTCTACAAACCACATTGCATTAAGGTGCTCCAAACAAGTCACAGTTAGTTTGGAACAAAAAGTCAACAAGCAGAAAAAAATATCTAAGTTTTGCTGTGATTGCATGTGTGCTTACTATTACATACAGACACGTTCTCATCTGGAATGTTTTCACACACACAAAAAAAATGGAAAAACCTGTTATTGAGTTAAAATGTCAGGGAGCAACTGAGTTCACTGGTTTAGAGAAATGGCTGATGGTTGTCAGGAGGAGAATATCTTGCCTTCTTCAACTCCTGCCCAGTCCCATATACCCCATACACTCTGGCTGCTTGCTTTTCCTTCAGAAAGCATGGCTGATATTTTCTTGAAAAGCTGATACTGCAATTTACCCTCCAGCACCAGCCAGAACTGATCACAGCATCTCTGCTGCAGAACTGAGTTCTTCGTCAGAAAGAAAAATAAAGATAAAGCTTATGGAAGACTTCTGCCCTTGGAAGAAAAATGGTTCTTGCTGTGATTCTCACCTGTTCCTAAAGGTAAGATGGCAACTGAGGGCTCTGAGCACACCAGCTTGTGCCTGATTTCCTCGAGTGCACCAAGGACCCAGCCAACGGTGCCGTCCCCTCCGCACACCAGCACTCGGAAGGAGGGGACTTTGGAGAACGTGTGAAACCTCCATTGTAGAACAAAGAACATGGGAAAACAAATGTTACAATGTAATACAGGAACTGCAAAGTCTCCTAACATGCTATTTAAGATAACACGGTATTATCGGAATTCTGCCCCATGCCCCACCTTACCATCTGTTTCAGGATCAACTTCAATAAAGTGAATGGAAAAATAGGAAATTTTAGATACAGCTGTATTTAAAAAAAAAAAGAAAACCACATTGCTCTAAGATTCTTCACTTCTCTTCAAGAGTTAAATGGTTAATCACTTCCATTTTCAAAGGCACAGAGATCTAATTAGTCATCATTTCAGTGCGAACATCTATAACTCTTTAAATCCTAGAGGAGACGTTGATTAGTGGTGGTGTTTTTTTACTCAGTCATAGGAATCACAGTACATTTTCTTCTTCACAGTACTGTTTTCCTGGTGACTCTTACCTTTTGTGGTTTTTCATCCCACATACAAAGATATCATGCAAAGGACTTTTTATTTCCCATTGCACAAGTAGGAGCATTTTGCTGTAAAGCTACAGAAAGATTCCAAGGCCAAAACCAAATGAACTAATTACTGAAATTGAAGCTTGAACTGCATTAGAAAGACAACAGAATTATACAGTTCTGAAAGAAAAATTAGTTTGGGTAATTTGTCTATCTTGCCTCCTGCATAAGCTGCATTTCTTCCAACAAAGCTTTTGTTCTGAAGATCTTATCCTGACAGTTTTTTATTAAATCAGTGCTGAAGAAATGAGGAATAGGCTACAAGCATCATTTTCAGTTTTATGAAGCTGGTAACAAAGTGGGGTTGATTAAATCAAGTCACTAGATCCTGCCTCCCTACAAGCACATTATGTCCTGTTCCTTGTAGAAATGTTGCAGCTGTGATCAGCCAGGCTCTGTTAATTCTGTAATTGTGGCCAAGTTTCAAGAGTCAAGACAGAAAATTTTATTACACTTTCCTAGTAGTTCCCATCAGAAGAAACAAAAGCAAAAAATCAGCTTTTGTGAAGAAATGTGCCACTTCTCTGTCCATCGCCATTCAAATGTAAGATACTTTTAATATTTATTAAAGATGTGCTATTGTAAAGGGCATTTGACGTTCCCAGGACCAGACTCTGCTAGACCTGACAGAAATCTATATATCAGGAACTACTCTATTCTCTTTTCTTTAGAGAACCTCAAAGTTTAAATCTGGTCTCACAGTAAGAACCAATCAGAAGGGAGTGATCCACTGCCCTGGTGTTCAGGCATAGAACAGAAGCAATTTAGATCTTCAAAATAAGTAAATCTAATACATCCTTTAAAAAAACATAACAATGTAAAAATTTTTTTTAAAAAATATGATTACGTACCCAGGAAGTGGGCCCCCATTGGTAAGTTCAAAGACCTGATGTGGGTTTAGCAGCTTTCTAAAACTGTACAGCAGATCCCGACCTTTCAGCCCACCGCTTTTTGGATTCACAAATACGAGAAGTGGGCAGCAATTCTGTGGTATCTTGGAAGCCTGAAAGAAAACAAGAAGAAAAGGATAAGCCAAACTCACTAATAGGAAGAAAAATTACTACTGCATCTGAGAAATATTATCTGATGCTTCCTTGATGCTTAGCAAAAAAATCCAGATACTATAAATAAAAAGAGTCAATGTCCAGAAACGGACAGGTTAACTGCTGTTCTTGATGCTCTGGGAACTGAAGTCTCCTTAACCCACTCCAACTACACAGTGGAGCCAACATGAAACAAAGTCATTGTAAGCAGCCCTTTTTACACATTTTCAGTAAACAGTCTATGCCAAAGAACAGCGTAAGGTACAAGAGTCATGTACAATTCAAATAGAGAAAGGAGAAAGCTTCTCAATAGAAAAAGAAAAGACAGAACTTCTCCCCAAACCAGATGAAATTTTTTTCTTTAGTTTGGTGGTTGTCTTAGAATACATGTTAATTTACAAGGCCAAAACATTTCAAAATGAGGATGTTTGGGCAGACACTGGCTTACCCCTCCCTGTGAAATAAGAGGCTGAAAGCTTCTTTAAAAAATACGTAATTAAAGCTTTTGTATCAGGAGGGTTTAATCAGGAGTGCCAGTATCTTACGCTCTACTGAAGCTGCTGCTGAAAGGGCTCTCAAAGCATGGCCATGCTGCAGTGGAGTCCGGTACCCATCCACAAACCACTGCAAAGGAAGCCACTGGACATGGCAGAGGTGGGATTTCCTGGGGCACTCCATGGACTGCACAGGAACTGTACTTGCAACCTCGCTGGATGTCAAAACTTCCAGCCAATAGAAGCACCCCCTTGGGGCTGGTTTTCAGCCAGCCAGTCTGCCCACAAATCATTCTGTAAAATGACCTGTAAATAGTTCTAGAAAGATCAGAAGACTCTGGCACACTTTTCATCTGTCCTGCCATGGGGCTGGGGGCAGGTATGTGCCATAAAAGTTCACTGGACGTTTCAACAAGTGCTCTTCAAAACAGAAACGTTTGCCACAGTCCCTAAGTTGTGATAATTTGTATTTACACATTGGACAGGATTCAGAGAACAGCGATTTGTCACGCAGCTGACCAGATGGATTCAGGGAACAGAACAACAGTGCTAAATATAAGTCAATTTAGACAAGAATGATTCAGGGGGCGGTGAGGCAGCAGCATGACCACAGCGTGCAAGCATGTGGAGAGATACCAACAGCTACAGAGAGGAGGAGACAGCACCCAGAGAGCCTGTTGACTGCTGTCTGTGAGGAACCACCAGAGAGCATGATCTGAGGTGAACAATGGAGAAATCAGGACAAATTAATGAGTTAAGTTTATGGGGATGCAAAATGGGGTCTGACACTGAGCTACCCCAGACCATCATCTACCTGTGAGCTGATATAGACACTTAAAAATACATGTTTGTTTGGGGCTTCACAGTACTTGAGAGATTTCCTCTAATTTTCCTTTCTTAAAAGAGCTGGCTGCTAATCCTCTGCAAGTCACACCCTGCCAGATGTGTCAAGATACCCACAAACACATAAAAATCCCTCTCCTCTAACACTGCCTGCATAAGGAATGCTCTCTGTTATCCAGTGTGAATTGTCTCTTGAAAAAGAGAAAACACACCGGGAAGAGGAACACTAAGCAAGTAAGAAGGCTGGTGGAGCAGGCACACACTTCTCTTACCCCTTTGTTCCCTATCCTTTAGATTCTACCGGAGACATTCACTTTGAAAATACATCTGTTCTCTTGAAAAATAAATTAGCCAAACAAGGCCTATTTTGGGGGACAAAGAGCCAAAAGAGCCTCAAAATTTTGTTTTACTGGAAAGGTTCCACTGCTGGCAAAACAAGTAGGTTGGTGAGACAGAGGCTGGAAAGCTGTGCACACAGTTTTCTCCAAAGGAACCACCTTCATGCTGAACTGTGACAACTGAGGTCAAAACACCTCTTGCCTCTATATTCAGATATTATTGGAAAGGGGGAAGCAATTACTCAAAGCATGTCCAACACATAACAAGGGTAATACAGTCATTTCTGTTAAGCACATGAAAAGGATTACTTGTAGACAGCAAAGGAAGTCTACGGAAAACAACGCATGCTCCTGTCACAAAAAGGAAGGACTTCTTGAGTATTAAGGTTAACAGCTCAAGGATCCACACAACCCAAAGAGACAAAGAGACAAGTGGATTTCCTCCCCTTGAGCCATTCCAGGCATTAATGAAAGAGTAAGCAGAGCTCTGGTTTTTCCAGAAATAAAGGTTATCCTGTTACTCCACCAGTTCCTGCACCACCATCTGCCATATCCTGCCTAGTCCTTTCACAATCACAGAATCATCAAAACTGGAAGAGACCTTTAAGATCATCCATCCAGTCCAAGTGTCAGCCTGGCACCACCACTGTGACCCCTAAATCACTAAATATCTTTATTAGAACACCTCCAGGGACAGTGACTCTACCACATCCCTGGGCAACCTATTCCAATGCCTGACCACCCTGACCACGAAAATGTTTCTAATATCTAATCTGAATCTCCCCTGCCTCAGTTTTAAGGCCATTTCCTCTTGTCCTTTCCCTGCAGGCACGGTAGAAGAGACCGGCCCCCACCTGGCTATAACCTCCTTTCAGGTGCTTGTAGAGAGGGATGATGTCCACCTTGAGCCTCCAGCTCCCTCAGCCGTTTCTGGACACTTCAGGAGCCTTGTTGCCGTTCACTGGACATGCTCCAGTATCTCCTTGTCCTTTTTTAAGTGAGGGGCCCAGAACTGAACACAGTATTCAAAGTACGGCCTCACCAGTGCTGGGTACAGAGGGATATCACTTCCCTAGTCCTGTTGGCCACACTATTCTCAACACAGGCCAGGACACCATTGCCCTTCTCAGCCACCTGGGCACACTGATGGCTCATGCTCAGCTGTCTGCTGACAGCATCCCCAGGGCCTTTTGTGATGAGCCACTTCCTAGCCACTCTGCTCCCAGCCTGTAGCACTGTGTGGGGTTAAATCCCACAAGCAACAAAAGGCAGAGCAGCTCTGAAAGGAAACATCATGTCCCATGGGGTAACAGAGCAAACCGTTCCCTTCCTGCACTCTTTGTCCGGCTTCTACTCTGCCCTACCTTCCCTCCTGACCATTCCCCATTTCTTCCTCTTCAGAGCTTTTTTTACTACCTAAATATCATCTCCAGCCATTTCAATTTTCTGAACAATAACGGCAACCTGAAACCTCAGGCTTGGTCTAATGCCTGGAAACTTGCAGGCTTTAAAAAACGGGGGTTAAAGAGATAATAAAAAGAAAAAATACTAAGTTCTGCAGCTCAAAGTAAATAAAAACTTTTCCAAAAAAGAATGAGAGAAAAGAAAACAGCCCAGCAATGAAGTCCAACAATTACCTTACTTGAATATGACAGGAACATTTGATTATCTTCTGTTTTTAAGGAAATCAGTTTCTAAAAATATTGGTTTGGGACATATAGAAGTGACATGTTGAATATGTGCTTTATAGTACTTGCTTTTCCAGGCAAGTTCTAATGCTCTAGGTTTAAAACCAAGTAACTAAAATAATTCAAATGGAACTTCAAGGAATTGCAATGATTTTTGAGACACGGTGAACTCTACAGTATTCAAAAGCACAGCTGTGTGTAGTAAAGTCATCTGAGATCTTTCCCAAGTAAATATGAAGTATTGCAATTATGTATTACAGTTTCTACAAAACTGCCATCTAAACTTCCCAATAAGTGCCAATATTGTACCCAAAAAAAAAAAAAAGAAGTTAAACATATACCCTGAATGCTACTAAGATTCACAAGCAGCTGCAGAGAATGCCAGGAGCTAAAAAAATATCTGTATGTAGTGTATACTGAGCAGTCCTACTACTCAAAACTACTCTCATTCAAGTATCTTCTGATGTAAATTCCTAACTATACTCATTTAGTACTAGATGCATCTATGCAGAATAAAAAAGTGTTCTAGAAAGTGCTTATCCTTACCATTAACTTGTTTCCTATCATGACTCTTCATTAAGCTTAAAGGAGTAATAAACACTGCTAAATCCCTAGATAAAGGCCAGCTTCTAAGAAAACAATTATTTTTTGGTGGGGGTTAAAAATTCTACGCTGGTTTGTACAGCAGAGCAGGGCTGCTGTTGAGCTTTCTCAAAAGTACACTCTCTGCTACAATTACAGATGGTCACAAGGGTAGCACCTTTATGCTGCAGAATCTTTTTAAAACCCTTAGTAAAGCCTCACTGGGGACACACAAATGAGCTTGTTACTGGGCAGAAGACAGTGTGTGACTCACAGCCTGAGGACTCCCTTCCCCCTTTAGTGCTGGCTTCAGTGCTCTGCTCGAGGAGTGAAATCTGCAGAGGGGTTTTGTGTTGGCTGGCGTTCAGGAAGGAATTTATTGCTCGTTTCTTAGAGACAGCTGAAGGAGTCTGTGTGATTTAGACACTCTGACAGTCACCCTGAATTGCTTAATTTGTCAGGATCAGCACAACACGGCTTCAGGTTGGGGCAAGATGTTTATCATCTGCGCTAATCCCCTTTCTGTTGAGTGTACTGTGTAACCACATCTCACAACAAAGCAGAGCAAGGCGTTCTGAGCCACAGGCCTACCAGCATGACAACCATGGCACATCTTCCAGTGTGGTGGGCTGTCTCCAGGAACTGCAGATATCTCTAAGTGCCAAGTAAAATTCAACATCTGCAAGTGGGATGCCAGCAGCACATCCCATTTGAAAGGACTCACGATGGCCCAAGCACAAACTCCCTCCACCCTGGCCAGAAAGGTCTCATTATCTCATGAGGAATTATGTGCAAGGTGTCTCTATGCATCTGGAGCAGCAGCTGGGTCAACTCCCAAGCTTTTACTTTACTTTTTGGCATATTGCAGAAATGGAAGAATCATAGAATCATTAAAGATGGAAAAGACCTGCAAGACCATTGACTCCAACCTTTGGTCACCACTTTGTCAACTAGACCATGGCACTAAGTGCCATGTCCAGTCACTTCTTGAACACATCCAGGGATGGTGACAGCACCACTTCCCTGAGCAGCCCACTCCTGTGCTTGACAACCCTTTCAGTGAACGGTGAAAAGGGTGACAGCCTTTCAAAGGGGTGAAAAGTGATCTTTCATGGTGTTTTGGCAAAAACGTTCATTAAGCTATCATGCTTTTAAGTTGTAAGTATTTGTGTCAGGAACTAGTGGAACGAATAAAATGAAATTTTCATCTATTTAGGAATCTCCCACATCTTTTTCTATTACTCTTAAGGAACCTAAACATAAGAGGGCACTCCACTAGTAAAAGGCATTAGTGATAAAGGCACAAAAACATGTGCTGGTATTGGCCTCATACAACTCTCTGCTGACTTTCTTGCTTGCCAGTGCTGCAAAAGAAGTTCTAGTAAATTAACTCTGAATTCAAAGATTGTCAGCCCTGCAAAGTCTTTCACCTTGGCATGATATCAAAGAGTGAAACCAAACTGTCCCTGCAGTTCCTCACACAGAGCAGTTAAGTAGCTTTGTAAAATACTGTATTTTTTTTAACACTCCAATTAAGAGAGTATTTTCATTTATTTGAATATTGTGAAATGAAAAAGTGTTTGATTAAATTCTTAAGGGCTTGAAACAGCAGAATGGATCAACACATCTGATAACACTAACTGCTTGACTTTCTAATAGGCAGTTGGTACAAACTGATTCTGCATTCAAACTTTGCAGTAATGGTAATTTGAGGGTGAATTGCTTCTGGTAGACCAGATTATGCCAGACTAGAACTGTGCCTCCTCCTTAGAAGGTATTTCAGACACAGAGTAAGCAAATCTCACCTCAGAAAAATGAACTAGCAGCTTGCTAACCACCAATTTACTTCAGTACTTCTATCAACTTTTAAAAAGGGCTGTTTTACTGTTGTTGGTTGTTTCTTTTTCAAACGTAAATTACAGTTTGCAAAAATCATTAGCCCTTCATTCCCAGCTTCTTTGTATTTCAGTCACAAAAGGAATGTCAAACATGGTGTAAATTTAGTATTGTGCTCAGTTTCCGTGTATTTCCTGGTACTGTATTTAAACGATCACATCTATAAACAAAGGCTAATATTATCACAGGGTTAAAAAAAATAGTCCAGGTTGGAAAGTACCCCAGGAGGTCATCTAGTTCAGTTGCTACCCAAAGTAGAGTCATCAATCACTCATTAGCTTACCCTGAGTAATTAGTGAATGGCATAAGCTGGGTGGCCAAATCATATAAAAACAACACTTCAAGTATCATTTAGGCTAACTCTTGTCTTATTTCAGTGAGATGACCAAATATCAACAATACATGCTGAAATGGAAGTACAATGTTTGTGCCCATGTACAGTCCCTCTCTCCTTCTTACATATTCGAAATTAATCCCTAGCAGTCCCCTGGAGTTTCTAAAAATATCTTGCATCAGATAACAGTTAATATTATCCACATTTTCCTGACATCAAGAAGTTCACTTCAAACACATCCAGTCTCAGAAAAACAGACACATGTAATCAACAGAGTGGAGTATGTTCAACTTCACACACCAGACACCAAACACAGGCTCATGATGCATTTGCCTGAAAAACAAGAAAACCAAGTATCCAAAAGCAATTCCATCTTCATAATGCCTTCTGTTTCTCATAACAGACACTGTGAAACCTAGTTTGGATGAGGTGGGGCCTTGGTTTCTAAGGATTTCATAAAACATAACTCCTGTGTATGTGTAAAAACAAGGAGAGGGGATAGCTTTTAATCTTGCCAGTTGCATCTAAGCACTACCCCTAGTATCTGCTCATACAAAAAAATAATTTTGCCTTCAGAAAACTTTGACAAGTGTAGGACTCATTTCTAAATGGTAAAAGCAGCTATGTAAGTAAGCAACTTTGGCTACTAAACTCGAGACCCTACCATCTAAAGTTGTTTCATAATTCCTATTAATTATGTAATTTTAAAAAGTTTTTGACATTCTGTGAAGTTCCAAGAAGTCATACCAAGACTCACTTCACTTGGCATAATGCAACTCCAGAAAGACAGTAAATTGCAAGATACAGAACAGCTAAGTAGAAACTAACTATGGCAACATTCTCTTTTGGACAGAACCTACATCATATCCTGGCTAAAAATATCACTTAACTCAGTTAATAATTTCCCTCTTTTCACCTCGACTCTACTTTCTTAACATGAAACCTATTATCAAACCAACTGATTAATATAAAAGTGATTTGTAACCATAAAAATTAATAAATCAAAATCAAACCTGAATTTGTCAAAGACTCTTCCACTAAGTTTTTCAAAAGACTATGTTCTTCTGAAATCCACAAGGTCTGAACAAGGTCAGACTCCCTCTGCTACAGAATGGGGAAACAAAGATACTGTAAATGTGAAGATAAGCAATAGTACTTTACCTCATGGTTAGTGAGGAAACACATTTAGTCCCCAAAATAAAATTGCTGTAGACATTTTCAGACATGCCAGCTAAAACTAAAACCCCACCTAACTTTTTCATCATTGAAAGAAATAAAAAGGGGAAAAAAATGTTTTTCTCCCCTTTATAGTTGCATAGGTAGGCAGTTGTATATCGACAATTCAACAGTAAAAGGACAAGTGATTTAAATCACAAAAGTATATCATTATGTCAAGTACAGGCTCTGAAGGATTTTTTTTTTTTCAGTACACTACTTAGAGAAAATCACTTAAGGCCTCTTTAAAGAAAAAGTATTTTCATTTAGTTCCAGCAGAAAGACTTTTAGGGCAGTTGTTCAAACCCGTCTCTTACCATAACTTCAGGAATCACCACAGCATTCAGGGGCTTGTCATTGATAACAGTATCTTTAACTAGCATATATATTCTTTCAGCTTCAGAAAAACATGAAATTTGGAGTACAACAGCACCTGTAAAGAGGCATCAGAACTATTTTTTATATTTTCTATTATTATCGGAAATAGGTCTCATATATCACAGCAAAAGTTCACTCAGTTTACTCAAAACATTATTCAGCAAAACTTACTCCGCAGTTGTTTGTTATCAGTGAATTGGGCTGTTCTGTTTCCAAAGCTTTCTCCATAAGCCCAAAACACACCTCAGATTTTTGTTAAAGCAAAGTAGTTTGAAGACAAGCAAGAACTGCAGCACAGAACTGATGCACATTTAAATACTTCCTTTGAGCTTCAGAGGCAGGGCGTATTTCCATACTCTTTATCACAACTAATATGCTTTTCTCATCATGTACAAGTGACAAAGGTATCAGGTTTCATTCTGTATCTCATTATTAAAAATCCATATCTCATTATTAAAAATCCATTAGTTCCATTCATTAACAGTATCTCTGTAAGAATTACTGCAAGGAAAGATTTGGTTTGAGAATCAGTTTTAGATATCTTTATGTTGGCTTAGGTCCTGTACGAGAAAATTGGTGAAGAAGGGAAGACAAAAGAGAAAGATAAAATGAAATAAAAATAAAATAAAGTACTGTTAAGTTAGTTTAAAGTGAGAGACTTAATGAGGAAGAAAATGGGGCAGGATAAGATCAAAGTGCATATCAGGCAGCATATGAGATGTAAACTGGTCACATAACCTGGGTACAATGAAAAGGGAGAGTCAGGAAATTACGAAAAACACAAAAATACAAATAAAAGGAAGTGACAATAAAAAATCACATACAAACAGAAACATCTGAAAAACTCATGCATGTAAATTTGGTTCAATAAGAAGAGCATCCCAAACCAAATTTTTCTCCACTAAGAAATATGAAAACAAGAAGGCACATCTGAAAGCTTTATAGTTTTCCTTATGAAAAGTATTAATTAGCCATGTGGAGACAGCAAATACACAAAGGAAGCACACAACAGTCTTCAAAACCATGATATGGAAAGATCCATTTAGCAGACGTGTGAAATTTAAGCCTGCCAAAGGATGTGAAACATCTCAAATATATTGATGCCTAAACACACAAAAGAGAAAATTCCACACTTCTGAGTTTTACCAAATGCAGATCTCCATCTGACCACTGCACTAAAGCTGCCCTGAGCCACTGCTGCTCCAGCTCTCAGAAGCCACAAGGCTTCTCCGACCTTGCTGAAATAAAATTCGTACAGCAAAAGCTCAAAGGATGAACAGAGATGAACATATTTATTTTCTACAACTTCCAGCTAGCTACTAACACTCTGCTATGAAACAGTGACTGTGAAACAATCCCACTGAGTCCAAAAGCACTACCAAACTTTAGTATTTTAGAAGTCAAAATAAAGAGGGAGCACCTGAAGGGTTTTCATCAGTTCTGTGGTGTTAGATTGTTCAGTTGAAGTGCAACTTCAAACCTCATTTTTATGATGAAATATTACCACCTTCTGGTGCACAAGGCATGAAGCCAACCTTTTAACTTTTTTTAAAGAGGTAACACTAATCCACTGCTCTTCATAAACACAATATATACATTCTACCTGAAGGGCTTTTTGGTTATGCAGTAGAACTAACATACTCTGAGCTTCAAACCTCTAGTATTAGGCTGCAGTTTTGAAAACAGACATAGTTTGTAAGAGTAAAAATCTTAATGCTTACCTTGTGCTTGATAAACATGACTCACGGATACTACATTTGCTGAAAAGGGTAAAAATATAAACACATAAAACCTTGGGTACATTTAGAGTAAATATTTAAAGTATTTTTAAAAGTTACATAAATACAATATAAATAAATACTAAAAGTTATACAAATATAGGGAGAACCTCCAGCTAACATTTTCCCTCTCCTAAGTTTACTTTGCAAGTAAGAAAAGCTAAACTGATTTTCATAAAAGGTGACTATGAATTCTTTCTAGCACTTTAAGTTTAATTCCTCTTGAAGTTACATAAAAGATTGGGAAAAACGCTTCGTTTCCCAAAACAAAAATCAAGATGCATTCCTGACACTGTTTACAGAAAGCGTTGGTTGAAGGACTATTATGAAAAATCAATTACACTTCTTTGAAAAAGAAAAATAAATTCTTTTCCCTGAGTCCATATATGTGTGCATATATGTGCTTGTCCATATATGTGTACAAACACTGCTCACACTCCTCCGTGACCAGACGCAAAGTCCAAGAATAATGTGGAGAACAACCCACACAAAAAGTGTCAGAGGTTAATAAAGGAAAGGGACATTCATGTACAGGGAATTAAATTGCACTGGCATAATTTGAATGGTTTAAGGTATGTACAGTTCTTTAAAAGAGTGAAAAGTTTTTCACTCAGAAAAAAAAAGCCTCCATGAGAGTACAAGGCAGAATAATTTTTTAAATAAGGTCAGAAAAAGTTTTTAAAAAAATAAAAATAAAAAGGAGCAATAGATGCTACATTTTGTTCTGTACAAGTTAAAGTATCTGAAAATGCACCTGTTTACTTACTTTTGATAGCTAATTCTTCCTTGAGAATATTTGTGTATTCTTCAGCAGAAAGCTGAGGTGGAAGGCCACCAACAAATAAATTTACTTGCACAATGGATTTACTGTTTTCCACAATGTAAAATCTTGTTTGATTCATCTGACGTATTGAAGTCTACCAAAACAAAGGAAAATAAATGACATGACATTTGGCAAAAAGATACTATGAAACAAAATCCAAAACAGTTCTGCACTTAGCAATCACATCCTCTATGCCTAAAGAACATCACAAACAGAAGCAAACCTCAAGATCTTAGCTTCTCTACAGATGAACCAGCTTGGGGGGTAACTAATCACTCACTTTTTCTGTAAGAAAGGGGACTCTCTAAAAAAAAAAGGGTTCTTGGTTTTTTTTTTTTTTTTTTTTCAGATTTACCTTTCGTATGTCCTTGAATCTGTTAAGAATCAGTTCTTGATTGTCCAAAACCATGCGCTGAACTGGAGACAGCAAGAACATTGATGATGTTAGAAAGCAATGTAAATTATTATCAGGCTCAATTAAACACACAAAAAAAAGAAAGAAAGAAAGAAAGAAAAAAATTAGGGAAAAAGTACAGCTCTGCATATAACTAACTTCAGCAAAAAAGACCATGGTGACCTGAACTACTATTCAACAGAAAAAAACACTTAGGTGCTTGGAACAGTCCGAGTTTTTTCACAGTTCCTAAACACCACCCTCCTTTAAAGAAAGGCAGAAACAGCCCGGACCCACTCAAAAGACAAGCAGTACTTTAATTAACAGTGTAACTGCTTGACAGAAGACCTTAAAACTATAGTCACTAACAGCTACATTAATAAGCTACTCCTGTGTTTTATCAAAATACTAAAAGAATTCTAACAACTTCCAGTTAAAGTAAGTTTGCAAACGATGCTTTAAAATTGAGCACCAGAAACCAACCAAGGTTAAGACATTCACAAGGCTACAATAACCTTACAAAACAACTGCCTGATAATGCTCACACATAAAGAAAAGCATCGAGCCAGTTCTTGAACTACAAAGGTATTTACTCAGCTATGGTCAGAGATCAGACTACTTCAATGGCTTTATTTATCTCTCTGTACAACCTTAAGAACACTGAAACACAAAGGGACATGAACTTGGAGAACACCAGCTCAGCTCCTGCAGGACCACAAAACACTTGAACAATGCCAGGACTGCAGATTTCTGTACTTCCTAACACACACATATTATTTGACTATCTACGGACTATCTTAGGACTCAAACTTACTCTTGTTTGGGGGTTGTGTCAAGGGAAAGAAGAGAAACTGAGGGAGTCATCTGAACTTTAGAATTAATCTTTAATACATAACTGCAATTATGTCAGTGTTGCCGTGGGATTTAGGTGCTGAAAAAATCTCCGGAGCAGTTAATTAGGGGTGAGATAAGAAAGGGTTTTATTTGCCAAGGCTAAGATGTTACCAGACGCGCGCGTACCCCTGTGCCCGAGAGGTTACATTTTATAACATCATCCATCCAATCCCAGATGTATCCACCCTGTGGCCTTTCCTCTGGACCGCCCCGGGGTCCACCCCCTGAAAATGAGTCTGGGGTGCATTTCGGGACCCTCCATTCATCCCATCTTCATCATCATCAGAGCACAAAGGGTACATAGTTATCTAATTCTTGACTTCATTCTGTGGTTTAGGCCCAGATATGCTGTTCTGTCAACTGTCTAGGCCTAACCTTGACAAAAGACTAAACATTTCTATTGGATTCAGGAGTAGGGTTGATATGGGGAGCATAGAATGGGGTAAGAGGGTTAAGGAATGTGTAAACAAGGGTGCTACAGGGAAAAGGGAAAGGAACAAGGGCAAAGAAGAGAGGGTTTCTACTTTCACTGCTTATAAAACTTACAAGTCTTACAAATATTAAAAGAAATAAAAAAAACATTAGGGGCTTAAGGCATCACAGTCAAACACAGCTCCTCAAAACAGGACAAAGTGTCAATACCCACCAGAAACCACAAGTAAATTTTTATGAGAGAACAAAGAAAGAGAAGGGAACCTTATCCTCAGAGGACACACAAAACTGAGGAGGACCAGCATCACTTCTGATGAAGTATTTCAGCATCATTATGAAGCTTCATTTGTGTTTTTAATTGTAAAAAATGAACTGCAACTGCGTTGGAATGGGAAAAAAACCCCTTGAAGGTCAGCTATGAATGTGCCTTTGACCAGTGCTCCTTCACTTACCTTGCTTACTGCCCATAAGCACTTCTACCAATTTGAAATTCTGGAGGCACTCCGTCTGCCAAAAGATGCAACACGTAAATGCAGTTTCTGAACAACACAATTTTGCCAGATGTTTACGTTATTGTGTTATACACTGTACACACAGAGCATGAAAATTAAACATTTTTAAATCAAATCACGACGTTCTTCTTCTAATCAACTCCATCTGGGTCAGGAATAATCTTGATCTTACATGCTTATGGCACCAGGTTCCCATGCTCTTAAATACACTGGCATCCTTGCAGCCACATTATGAAGTGGCACCTGGCCAGCACAGTTAATTCTACTCCTGCTTCAGCAATCAGCAGCTCACCCAGGATATTTCCTGAGTGCCCTTCCAGAGAAAGCATGCAGCACTGGGAATGAACCTGCTCTTTGAGAACACGGCCCAGGGACTAGGCTTGGCAAAATAGCTGACCATTCCCCCTCGCCTGGGACAACTCCACAGGCAGTGATCTCTTATATGTGCCACAGTCTCTTCTCCAAGCTTCTGCCAGGGACCACTCAAGTGCCTTGCAGCTGGACTAGAAAAGCTGGCACAGCCAAGAGTTGAACCATTTACTACAATTATTGAAACCCTGCAAACATGTGACTCTGAGGATTGAAGAAGTGCCTTAATTTGTGGCCTTGAAACTCAAGAGAAAAATCCTACATGCCATGAACGGGGAGGTTAAGAGCCTCAACTTCCTACATGTGCTTTGCCTGATATTTGATGAAAGTGACTTGGAGAGGATCTTCATCAAGGGCAAATTCTGGATATTAAAAAGAAATTTCCTGTATGTGCATCTTTTTACAGGGAAATGAGAAGAGCCTTTAAAAATTATCACTATTGGAGAAATCTCAATTGTGCCTAAGAATTGAGTCTTTTACAGCATACAGCTAGCTTCCCAAACACATAGATGTGAAGATCTTTCCCAAACAGAGTATCCAACTATACTGTTTGACAGTTACTTTTTTCAGGTGAGACAAAATTTTGGAGACAGTTGTTCAAATTTTTATTAAAAGGTCCACAGCACTTGAGGAAACGGACTGTCAAAAAATCCTAGAACTATGCTACGGTGCAAAACAAGCTGCCTGCATTACACAGCTGGGTACATCGAGACAGAGATCTACAGCTATCACCTACTGCAGGTGGATAGCCACACACATGTTCCTATGTACCCTGTAAATAACACGGAAGGCAGAAGTCACCCTCTCTGAAGCATGGCTGCTCCCAGGAGCAGCAGAGGTGTGTTGATCTGCTGGTGTGCTGACAAGCCCCAACCGCTAAATGGAACGTGCATGCTACAGCTTTGTGTCTCCATTCTACTAAAATTCTACTAAAATGTTTCCTAAAAGTCATGCCATTTTGGCACCAACTCTAAGAAGGACAGAAGGGTAGGCAGATTGAAAAGAGACCATCTTCTGAGGAAAACATCTGCATCTACAAGAGTACAAGATGTATCTAATAATTTCCAAAAGAATATGGTTTTGTTTCAGCCTCAAGTCCTTCCTTGCAGTCCTTGAGGACTACAGAGATGCTGCTTGCCACCGAAAGGAGAAAATTTCTGCAGCCAAAGCTCTATTGGATTTCAAGTTGGCCTTGAACTCCAATTGAGTCAAGCACTGTGAAAGACAACAATAAGGGATATTGTCAATATGTCAATAACAAAAGTAAGATCAGAGATAATATTGATCTGTTGCTTCGTGAGGTTGGTCACCTCAAAAATAGGGATGTAGACAAAGTGGAGACGTTCAACGCCTTCTTCACTTCTGTCCAATACCAGTGATGAGCTCTGGGACTCCCAGTCAACCCTGACCTTTTCTGAGACTTGCTGCTTCAGCCCGGTGCACGTGAATCAATAGGGTCTGATGGAATTCATCCAGGCTACTGGAAGACCAGGTCAATGTCATTGCAGGACCTCTCTCCATTGTCTTTCAATGGTCTAGGGAATCTGGAAAGGTCCCAGACAATGGCAAGCTGCTGTTCCACTGTTCAAGAAGGGCAAAAAGGAAGACCCTGTCAATCTCTTTCAGTGCCTGGTAAAATCATGGAGATGGTTATTCTGGGGAGTATTCGAAAAATACTGGAGAGACAATGAAGTCATCAGTCACAGTCAGCACAGGTTTGTGAGGGAAAGGTAGTGTTTGACAAATTTCATTTCCTTTTATGACAAGGTCACCTACCTAGCTGACCAAGGGAGGCCAGTGACTGCTGTGGGTTTGGATTTTAGCAAAGCCTTTAACACTGTCCCTCACAATACCCTTCTGGATAACCTGTGCAGAACAGAGCTAGACAAGTCCATATTGCATTGGGTAAGCAGCTGGTTGACAGGTCAGGCTCAAAGCATTAGCATATGTGGGGTTACATCAGACTGGTGGCCAGTCACCCATGTGGTTTCCCAGGGCTCAATTTTAGGACCAGCACTCTTTCATGTTTATATAAATTGTCTGGATACAGGCATCAAAAGCACAGGAAGTGAGTTTGCTGATGATACTAAGTTGGGAGTAGCTGTGGGCTCCCTTGAGGATAGGAGACCCTTACAGGGAGGTCTGATAGGCTAGAGAGCTGGGCAATCACCAGCTGTACAAAATTTAACAGGAACAACTGTCAGATCCCCCTAGGATGGGGTAAGTAAGCCTGGTTAAAAATACAGACTTGGGGAGGAGAGCTGGAGAGCAGTCCTGCAGAAAGATCTCATGGATGGGGTTGATGGCAAGTTGAATCTGAGTCAGCAGTGCTCTGGCAGCCAGGAGGGCCAACTGTGTCCTAGGGGGCATCAGCATCACCAGCCAGTTGAGGGAAATGATTGTCCTCCTCTGGTCTGCAGTGGGGCAGCCCTACCTCAAGTACAGTGTGCAGTTTTGGGTGCCTCAATGTAAGAAGGACATCAAACCATTTGAATGTGTCCAAAGCAGGGTGACCAAGATGATGAAAAAACTCAAGGTCAGGACTTAGGAGGCACTTGGCTTGTTCACCCTGGGGAAGAAGAGGTTGAGGGGTGACCTCACCACAATTAACATCTTCCTCAAGGGAGGCAGCGAAGGGAGAAGTGCTGATCTCCTCTCTCTGGTGACAATTGATAGGACCCAAAGAAAGAGAACAAAGCTGCATCAAGGGAAGTTCGAACTAGTCATTCAGAAAAGGTTCTTCACTGAGAGGATGGCCGACCACTGGCACAAGATCCCCAGGGAAGTGTTCATGGCACCAAGTCTATGAGAATTCAAGGAATGTCTGAACAAAGCTGTTAGTCATACACTTTGGTTTTAAGTAGTCCTGCAAGGAACAAGAAGTTGGTCTTGGTAATCCTTACGGGTCCTTTCCAACTTGAGATGTTCTGTGATTCTTTGATTTCCTTTGCAGGGCAGCACAAAGAATCAGGAGACAAGCATGATCATCCTAACAGTGACTGCCAGTTTCCTAACAAGGTAAGATTAGAAGCGTATGAACACAGAATCGCTGTGTTCATACAAGAATATCTGCTTGACCCAGAAAGACTGGTGGTACCCTCCAGCACAGAGGAGTTGCGCCTACCAGGAGGAATGCAGAAAGCTTTGAGCAGTGTGCCAGTCACACGAGATCATCTGCCACACTAAAATCATGTACATTAACTGCAAATGAAGGAATTACAGTTCTTGAAGAGGAAAATAAATGCACCCCACTTCAGGGTCACTCAGGTGGTATATGGACAGGCTTGGGATCAGTTACCTGCCTTCCAAGTAATGGAAGCACTTCTTTGATCACAGTCTGCGCCGTGCTATCCTTATTTACTCGTAGAGAAACATATGCCATTCCCACCCTAAGAGAAAAGAAATACTTATTTTAGGACAATCATTTGACCTATCCTGTGTGTACCTTTTTTACCTAGGTGTCAAATTTGCATTAGTTGAAGAAAGTTGTTCGCTGAGACTCATGGCAAATGCAGTATCAGTGCTACAGACAAGAAAAGACTTTCATCTCAAGGAACTGGTAATTACAATTGTAGCACTGCAAATTAAGTTTCCTCTTATACACAAAATTACCTTCAACTCTTTCATAAAATTTGGCAGTGTAGCTGCAACAGCAAACGGAACAAATGGTTAAATCCGATCGATCCCACAGTTCTTCAGAAATGGAAAGGTCACCAGACCATTTTGTTTTCACTGCCAAATATGCTTAAAATTTATACTGTCTCAGTGGTAAACGGAACAGTTATTTTTTTCCTTTATTTTTTTCCTCCTAATCTCACATGGGAACTTACACTGTAGTTCTTCCTACTTCATATTTCTTTAAAAAAAAAATCAATCAATTTTTCAAGTGAGAAGTGCATATCATCATTTGTTTACAGATACAGTCAATGTGAAGTTGCATCTTCCTGACCAAATACATGAAAATAGTACTGCAGAAGCTGTACACTATGTTCCATGCCTGTAAAGAAACCCAAGAGTTTCCAGGCATGGAAATGAATAATATGCATATTACTCATTCAGAGAAATGAACAGAAGGATCCTGAAATACAGAAAAGGAAACTACACTCTCTGCTATTCTTCTGCAGCTTCAATAACTGAAACAAACAGGGCTAGACTACAGCAGACAAATGTAGCCAAGCAGCATAGCCTTGTGATCAAGTAGGAAAATACTCACTTTAGCCAGGCAGGATAAATTCTGATCACTTCCTCGTCCTTTGGTTTGGCTCTGATGATCCAAGCTTCAGGAATGGATTCTCGGAATACTGAGCCCAAGTTGCTGTCCTCTGCAGCATCGTTCCTGTTGATAACATCATCAGAGAGCAGCACCTGCTGCGTGAAGGTCTGCAGCTCGTACTCCTGCTGGTCATCATTTATATAGTACGCCCTCAAAGCAGCCTCCTAAAACACAGCAAGATAAATTAACATTTACTTGAAAAGACATCATTAAGACGTGTAGCCACAGACATGTATGAATACTTTATTTGTGAAATGGACCTTTAATGCACGTTTTAAGCTCAGAGATGTAGATAAACAGCAATGGCAAAAAACCAAAACAAGAGTGAAGTTTTGAAAACAAATTTTAGTGAACATGAAAAAAGAAAACTTGAGATATCAATGGATCTGAACACAGTCCACAGTATTTTTGGCAAATGATAGTCATTTTAAAACCAGATGTAAAAATTCAGCACCAGTAAAGTTACACTTACTGCATGCAAGATTTACTGCACAAGGAAAATGGTAAATTACATTTGATCGTGCCCAACTCTGCCTACTCAATCTTTTTGCACTAAGGGGATATAGAAAATTAGAGAGTTTCTCAGCCACAAGTCTGCCCTGAACATCTCTGAAGACGAAAAGTAAGATCTGTCCTTGCAAGATGCATGCAGTCACATGCCTATGCCTGCAGCACCTCTGCTAACACAGATGCTGCAGTCAATACAGCCCAGTAACTCACTTGTGAGAACTGGTATTAAAAACAGCTGCCTGATAAAATGTGCTTGAAAGGCAAGTAGCACTCCTAAATAAAAATGTTTTCAGTCCTCTGCATAGTTTTTCTTAAAGATCTTACACATGAAGAACACTACATTCCATTTTCAAAATTCCTCTTGATTTTCAGCACGGCATCAAGATAAAAATCCTAATGACCTTTAGTTTTAAATTGTCAGAATTCTGAAGTAATAAATTCTCCAGAATACTCTTCCAAGTCCTTTACGACTTTGAGACCTCAACATGCCCAATTCTCCTGTGCACCACCCCATTTCCTCTCCAGGCTTTATTTCTGCACAGTGTGGGGTCTCTGCCTAGTCCAGCAAATTACGATCTGTACAGTACACCTGATTTAATACTGAGTAATTTTTCCACCCCAGATGGAGCAGTGGAAAAACCAGTGAGTGGCCAGTATGGGATCAATAATTCATTACTTTCACAGCCAAGGAGCAGAGATAACTATAGTATGCTTCAGTGTTCACAGCTGATTAACTCAAGTGCAATATTGGTGGCTGTTCAGGATAAACATCAAACCACTAACTACCACAGTAAAGGAGCAAGATCCAAGGAGATGGTTATCCAATATTGCTCACATCAGTAGTATCAGACTTCATAGACACACAAGGAAGCAGAATGACTACTTAAAATGTGATATACTGTGGTCCCCATTATACTAGAGATGTGTAAGCCACCATTTCTTCAGATGCTCTAAAATAAGAGCACTACATGAAAGCATTAATTACGTTGTAATAAGATAGCCCATTTACAGATTTTCTTGGTTTTGATTTAGATTTGTAAAACTGTTAGCTTCTGACTATTGTAACATGTAATCATACGCCCCTTTATCACATTGGAATATTGACCTGCACCAGGTATCTTACCACAACTTCTTCATTTTTTGCAATCCTTGGAACTGAAATCAGTCGAAATTGATTGCGTTTCACTGCATCATTCCCATCAAATATCTTCAATGTTTGTTTACCTAAATGGAAACAATTACTGTATTTCAATAACATACCCATGAATCATAAAGCTACCTGAATAGAAAGGGTATAATGGAACTACTAAAAATCTGCTTTTAACCCACTGAAATGTTTCTTCTTGACAACCTTTGAGGCTGAATATTTTCATTTCTTTTTGTTACTGTTCATTTAAAACATGGGTAAATTCACAGAGGAAAGAGGGAAGAGTATTTCAAGTAACTATAGTTTTATCCTGGCTTTTGCTATAAGTGCTTACATATAACTATACTGTTTATGATTCCACTTCTTCATCCTCATCATTCAAGACTGAATTTAAAACTGATCAGCTGAACAACTTGAAGACCAAGACAGAGTGCCATCCCCTTCAGAACAGCTCCCAAAGCACTGACAGTTCTGAGAGCATGCTTCTGAAAAAAGTCCTTAAAATAGCTGGTTAAGTGTACAGGTAACAGGAGAAAACACAGGGACAACTGAAAATCTAGAAGAAAGAAGGTACAGCAAATGAACTTCAGCCCTTTGCTGTCTTTCACTTCACTAAAGCTTTATCAAGTCCATGCTCAAGCCGTCGAGCACAGGTTGTTGCACAGACATCTCTGAAAGGGTGAAGAGTGAAGGATTTCAGGTTCACCTTTCAGAAAGATGAGTTATGACTCAGTCAGCTGTATGACAAAGTCTCTCTCTTACTTAAGTGACTATTTTAAGAGCAATAGCAAAGTGCAATCAAATTCTCAAAGAACAAGAAGCTTTTGAGAGGTTTTAGGAACAAATGAATATTACTAGTCCATTACATGTGTCCTTACCACCTGTATGTGGAAAGGAAAGCAAATTAACCAATCGAGATCAAAAAGGAGACTTCATGAAGACAGACCTTGTGTCCTCTCCTGATCACATCTTTATGAAGATACCTGATAAGATGCTCGGTTTTGCTTGTTCTTTGCAGGTTTCTCTACTCAGAGAGCTCATGCTTTTACAGCAGACATGACTATTCTTCACTGATAGAATCTACCCTTCTTATTGCAGTGTTGGACTGAACTGTTAACAGAAGTCACTCTTTGTATATATAGCACAATGTTACAGACTCTGATCTCATCATAAATCTGTACACCTGCATTCATCACAAAGCAATAAAATCACTAGAAGCTATCACTTGCAGTCTTGAGATGTTAGAAATATTAAGTGAAAGCCTCAAACAGCAGCTGCAATGCCTACATGACTGGTTAATCATGCAGTCTGTTAACACGGTAAAGGAGATCCATTACATGCTGGAGTCTACTTTCTTACAGCTTGGAAATACTTTGTAGTACAGAATAAAATACTTTTCCTCTCAAATAACATTGGCATTTAGGTTCAATGGAACACATGAGCCAATTATCATTTGCCATAGAAGGGTTAAAAAGGAGAGCTGCAACTTGCAGAACAAAACCACCAAACCGCCCCTGAACCGATGGTTGAAGAAAGCAAGCAAGACACCCAGGTAGAAATATGCATCATGGGGTACCTCAATGCTGCAGTGACAGGGTATGAGGCAAGACTGCAGTGAATAACTACTTTGCAAGGACACTTCAGTGCTACCCTTCTTGAACCACCTGAATGCACACTGTGTCTAATCTTATCCCTGTTTCGGTGCACATTCTGCAACTTGAGTCACTCGAAAGCAGACACCACAGAACTAAAGGTTCATCTAATACTACATTTGAAAGCAGTACTTTTAAAATGAGATTAACCCTCAAAGAAAAATCCTGCTACCTTAATTCTCATGACACTTATGTCTCTTTATTTTGAGATGTGAAAGCTACACTTGGGCTTCTTTTTCTATGTAGACTCGTTCACTTCTTACGGCCTTTCTTCATTAACAATTCCACTGGGCATGGCACAATGTGTGTACAAGGATGTTCTCACTAGGCAACAAAGTGAGAACATTGTGCCATGCCATTACACAGCAAAGTAGTCATCAGTGCAACCTCCCATCCTCCAAAGTCTTCTCAGTCTCTCCTGGGACAAAACTGGCTAGGTTGATTAGTCTAGTGAAAGATGTCCCTATCCATGGCAGGGAGGTTGGAACTAGATGATCTTTAAGGTCCCTTCCAAACCAAATCATTCTATGACTCTACCATGATATTCAAAACCTTACTGAACATGACAAACTGCTCTGATTTGCCCTGTTTGAGCAACGTCCAACCTCAGCCATGCTGTGACTCTTTAAAGGGAAGCCCATACAACAGATACATGCACAAACAAAAACAGATAGACAAAACCAGAATAAATAAAATTACAGAATCATAAAATAGCTTGGGTTGGAAGGGGCCTTCAAGCGTCATCTAGTACATACACTCTGACATGGACCAGGACATCTTTCACATTGCTCAGAGCCCCATCCCACCTGACCATAAACAATTCCAGGAATGGGGCACCTACACCTTCTCTCGGCAACCTGTGCCTGTCTCACTATCTTTATAAAAAAAAATTTCTTTCTTATGTCCAATCTAAAACTGTCTTTTACTTTAGAATGTTTGCCCCTTGCCTTGTCAGTGCAGGCCCTAGTAAAAAATCTCCATACATCTTTCTTATAAGTCCCCTTTAAGTATTGACAAGCTGCAATAAGGTGCCCCTAGAGCCTTCCCTTCTCCAGGTTGAACCACCCCAGCTCTCTTAGCCTCTCTCTTAGCTCTTAGATGGGGTGTTCCATCCCTCTAATGATCTTGGTGGTCTCCTCTGGACTCACTCTGACAGGTCAATGTCCTTCCTGTGCTGAGGATCGCAGAGTCGGATGCAGTGTTCCAGGTGGGGTCTCGTGAGAGCGGAACAGAGGGGTGGAATCCCATTCCTTGTCCTGCTGGTCATGCTGCTTTAGATGCAGCCCCAGATGCAGCTGGCTTCTTGGGTTGCAAGTGCACACTATTGAGTTGCATTCAATTTTTCATCCTCCAGCACCCCAAAGTCCTTCTTGGCAGGGCTGCTCTTGATCCCTTCATCCCCCAGCCTGTATTGATATGGTGCAGCACCTTGCAGTTGTCCCAATTGTTGAACTTCATGAGGTTTGCATGTGGGCCCAATCCTCAAGCCTGTCAAAGTCCCTCTGTATGCCACCTCTTCTCTATGATGCACCTGCACCACTCAGTTTGGTGTCATCCACAAACTTACTGTGGGTGCACTCAATACCACTATTTGTCATCAATGAAGATATTAAACAGTCTGGTCCCAGCATAGGCCCTTGAGGTCTATTTGTTTCTGTTTTTTTCTTGGACATTGATATGAAAGCACAAAGGGTTTAAGCAGGAAGGAAAACAGCTAAATCCTACACAAAAATCAAATTGAAGGACAAAAAAAAAATTCCTGTCTTTCTACACAGTATCTACAACATTACAGATCTTTGGGTTTCTGGTTGTGCAGGTTTACTTCTGGTCCTGTCAAGAAGAATGACCTTTGGAAGCACAGCTCTAATTTCTTCTTTACAATATGACTATTCCCTCAGTACTCTTGAAAGCAGTTATCTGAAACTTTTTATGTCTGTTTAAGGAAAATAATTACAGAATTTTCCATGTGCAATGTACGCTCTTTATAGCAATGGAAATGAATAATGCTACTGGAGAAGTGAGTTTGGGACATATGGTATGACACACTGTGACTTTTAAAGTATTTTTGTTAATATTAAAAGTAGTATTAGCAGTTGAATTTGGATTTTCAGTCCTCCAATTATCTACGCAGTGGTTGTTTCTGTCAAATTCTTTTTAGTCACAATATAAGGAAGATTTAAATACCATCAACTTTTACTTCTAAAGTACCCTTGAAACTCTACTGCCATTCCATTGAGACTATAGCATGCCTCAGAAGATCCACCCCTCTAAACCCTGCTAGATTTATGCCAGACAAAGTGAAAATCTTTCAGAAACAGATTTTTGCCAGAGTGATCACCATGGTAACTGTAGCATAGACAAACTCTAACAAAGACACACTGTGTCCTATGTGACCTTCTTTAGAGCTAACACAACTTGAAAAAACACAGCAAACACTGGTTACTGACAGCACAACTGATGTTCTGAGTATGGACTTTAATAACATTATCAAAATCTCCACTGTTATCTCAAGCAATCCAGAGGGTAGACAACCATCTGAGAATAAAAACATTCATCCAAGTTCTAGTACATGTTTTCATTCAAAGTGCCTTTGTTGTCTGCTCTTATGAGATACTAGCTGACATGAGAGAATCCCTAGCAATTTTAACTGGAGAATTTTTTATGAGTTCTCTGTGTCTTAAGGCCAGTCGAATGTTTCAAAAAGCTGGTTTGACTCATATATAAAACTGGTTTACAAGGAGAAGTTTAGATCTACAGAGCAGTAGTAGTGTCCTAAGCTCAAGCACATTCCTTAGCTAAATACACATTTATGCTCAGCCCTGTTTCCTTAAGGTAATCTGGTATCCATTACACAAAACAGAAACCATGTTCAACTTTCCTCACAAGGGACACTTTTACTGCAACCTGATGAAAGATGGCTTGCTTGCACACGAGCTTCTGGGAACGCATTAACAAAAGAACAGACAGCTAAATACTGCAACTAGTCACCTAGAAAGACACTTCCCCACTGAAGTGGGGATGTGAAGAGCATAACCAACACATATAAGTCAAGGGGTGTCTCATGCCAGTCTGATTTGTCTAACTAGCCTTGCCAAGAAGATCAACTATAACCACTTCTAAAGTTAGATAAGGCTTTTTCTTCCACCTGTTGCAATTTTTAAATATTAGAAAATGATCCAATTACAGACATGAAGTCCACATACCTCTACTTAGTATATATATTAAAAATAACAAACCCAGGCTAATATGCAACAGATGCACGTATCAAATTTTGGTATTTAAAGGAGTTACTCCCTGTTTTGCAATACTGACATTTCACTGGTAAGTGTCTTATCTTTTCCTGTTGGATTAGACTACACAGTATCAGGACTTTCTCCTGAAAAACACATTAATTTCTTTTTACCATGTGATACTGAGCTGAAAATAACCTATTATTCATGCTTTTCAAGGGGAAAATAACTACAAAAGGTCAACTTCAGGCATAATTTACCAAATTACGGAATTTGATTTTGGAGGCTAAGATACCAAGTCTTCCTGGGAAAAGGATAAACAGGCATTTGGTGAGTCCGAAGTTCATGTTCCCTTTGACTTCCAAATCCCCACAGACAGGACATGGCTTCTGAAAAGACTTATATGTGGTTTGAGACTGAGATAGGAAAACGATGCAGTCCTGAATATTTTTGCCACTGAAGAAAGCTAGAGGTCTACACCAAACCTATTGGTGAAAATCACTCTGAAAAGACTAAATTCTAGCAACACAGTTTAACAAGAACCATTCTTCCAAACAAAACTTCTGTTATCCACACGCTTTCTGCTCTCCTTCTCTACTGCTGCTTCATATTACAACAGTGGACTAACAAATTTTGGTTTATTTCAGGATTTGTATTCATAAGCTACAAGGCAGCATTAAGCTTTTTAAGAACTGTGTATTTTTTCTCTTATTGGCCTTGAAGACAGTCTTTCAGAATCCTAGGTTCTTGCTTTCTCCAGCTCTTCATCTTCCAGGAGAGCTATTTGCAGGTGTGTCCCTTCTCTTAAGTTGTTTTCATGAGCAGCTCAAATTCCCCTATTTTCAAGACAATTTTGAAGCACAAATCTGCATTAACAGCCATCCTCCCATTCTGGTTGCCACTTCTTCACCCTTCTCCTCTTGCTTTTTAGAGCTTCTGCAAGCATCTGCCATACATATCACCACTCGATCTGGTTTCACCAGCTTCAAATCCACTCAAATCATGTTTCAGAGAAAAATGTGACATGTGCAGTTATCTGTAAGCAGCTAGAGCAGAACACACTGACCCTTTTTATGAAAGCTGAACATTTCCCCAAGTATCTTTACAGGGAAAATCCCTCCCCATATGCTGTCTCTCCTTCTTCCAGAAAACAGTTTGTTCCTGCTTGCAGGTCTACAGTGAAGGTCTCCTCTGCGCTGTCAGCATGTTTGAGACAACACATATAAGCTCTAAGCCAGTGACTTGGGTCTATCTAACACAAAACCATTTTATCTCTCACAGTCAGGGCAAAACTGAGTCTGTGGAAGGACATGCTGTGAAACCTATGTTTGCTGACAACACTGCAGTTCCCATTTCTTCCCTCAAAGAGATTCCTCTAAAAACCTCCTCCAGAACGGGTTTTCTCTGGATGGTTGAATTTTGTCCTGTGTAAGACAGACACTCACTGAATCGGACAGTTCACTCTCAGCCAGTGAGTGCTGAGAGACTCACAGGGCAGGGAGAGTCCTTTTCCAAACCTGCTCCATGCTCCTATTAAATCTATGTTAATTTTGTGCTTTTGGTTTCAGTATCTTGGTAGACTAAATTTCATGGTTGATTTAGCATACTTAAGCTCCCAAAATTAAGATTTAGATCTTTTAACTTTAGACTTCACTCAACAGGTCTATTACAACAGCAAAGAAACAAAAGGGAATGCAGACCACTAATTCAAATCTTCTTCCAGTATTAGTCTACAGGCTTTGCACCCTTTTCTACTGGCTTCTTTCCTATGGAAAAAGTATGTCTTTACATACCAATATTATTCAATTTCTTCTGACTTGTTTTTCACTATTTTTAAAAATATGCACCCCTAAAACACAAAGACCTGGAATTAAGAAAAGCTGCAATATTCTGGAACATAACTGAGTTCAGGCACTCCCGAGGGAGAGTGTGGTAACATCGCAAAAGATGTGGTAAAGGTACTGAGTCAACACACAGAAGCTAATGAGCAGCTCCCTCTGGATTCCTATTATACAAATGTAACAAAATTTATAATATTTATTATCTAGAGGCAGGTGGAAGAGGTCCAGCCCTCTACAACCATGTCACTCGTGTTTAATTTGATAGGTTATGACTTCATATACACAGACAGGCACAAAAGCACAATAGCTACAAGGTGACCCCTAATAACTTTATCAGGTAAGTTATCAGAGAAGCCATGTCCTGAGCTGACTCAAGGTCCTCAATCCCATGGTCTGAGGGTGGCACTCCCCAGATGAGTCCACAGGGGAAGTTCTGGGAGTCACCTCACTGACCAAGGAGGTTGCTCAGGTGGTAGGGCTATATGAGATGCCTGTGAAAAGCATTCTGGTGCGGTATTAAGAGTTGTTAGGGGAAGTTTAGGAGAGGAACCAAAGCCAGGGGAAATGAGAGATCAAGGTGATTTGGGAAAGAAGTACGGGAAAATACTGGGATAAGGAGATAAAGGAAGCTGGTCACATTTAAAGACGTTGCTCATTGGTACTGCGTGGCATCTGCCTTGCATCTGATCAGCACAGTCTGTCCTATCATTAAATGCTATTTCTGACTCTTTTTGTCAGTATGGTTATTATTGAGCTTTCTAAATCATAGCAAAATTACTGGGTTCTACATTGTCTTATGTTTTATGAAAACGCATTAGGGGGAAGGAATATTTTTAATGTCACTGTTCTATTTAAAACACAAGTAATGGCTTTACACGAGCCTTGAAAACGTACCATCTATTGCTGCTTTCTCCAGTCCAAAGACAGACAGTGTATATGAACAAATGAGATACTGAAGTTTGTATCCTTCCCCAAATTTTCACATCTTTCCCCTTCTTTTGGGAAGGCTAAACTAAAGCTGAATTGGCCTGTACTAGTACTTTCAATCAATCCAGCTGAATATCTGGATACTTAATTTGCTCTCTTTGACAGTCAATAGGGAAATAGGCTTAGTTGTTGAAATGTCAAAGTCCTCACACTCAACCACTTAAGCCACTCAAAACACTGGAAAAAGTGAAAGTTTCTTAGATAAACTGCAGTTAGTCAGAGCCTTTTCCCACAACAAGGAAGTGTGGTGGTGAATCATTACTTAGAATCATTAAGAGACACCGGTTTCAAATTTTAAAAAGTGAAATAAGAGCATGTTTGAGATCACTTCCATAACTGAATTATTTACTGAGCTGAATTTTTTTTAAATCCATATAGCATTTGCACAATTAGCCTCCTAATTTTGTAAGAACTTTAGGATTAAAAAAAAGATTAATATTTATTGATTTGAAATTTCCTTTTTTTACAACAATCCACGCAGCTACATTAGGTAGCAAGCACCATGTTGTTCTAGTTACTAATACGTATATGGGGGTAGGATGCCCCGAAATTGTGGGTTTACTTCATTTCCTGAAAACTATGAGTTTGGCTGATACCAACCCCAGGCAGTTTTGCAGAGTTGTTTAAGACTTTAACCAAACAGGAGGCAACTAGCCCATCTCAATCCTGATTACTGCAACATGCCCAACTAAAAAAAAAAAAATAATCCACCTGGAGTCTTTAGTAAGATTTGGATCCAGTAATTCTAAAAGCAAAAGGCTTTGAAAAGACATGCTGTCTGCCCTTTAAATTAGTTGCTTATCTCTACAAATTGTTAACATCACATTTTCTTTCTTCAGTTACCAAGGTGAGAGAAATGACTTCTTTGTCAGGATAATAAACAGATTATCAATTATGCCCATCTACCAGTTGAAAATAGCAGTAAGATATTTGTAAGGCCTTGGATAAATGTGTTGGACTAAAACTTTGGACCTCAAATTAAAACCTAGCATTAGAAAAATAGGCATTTAATATTTTGTCATAAGGCAATACAAGGTAAGATTATATGAATAAGGACTGGAACGGGTGACTATTCACCACTTACTAAAATTGTGCTTACTTGAGTCTGTTGAAATCTGGACATCTTTTGCTGATCCCTGTGTTGAACCATCAACATCATCATCTTCATCTGTGAAAACAGAAACATTTAAAGGAAGGATTTCTGTTAATTTGAACTACGGGGGAGGGAAAAGGTGTTTGTCATTTAAGAGCAATTTCCACCAAACAAGCTAGCACAAAAGGATTCAGACAGAAAAGCACACTTTCTTTTTCTACCTATAGTAATTAATACAATAAAAACAGCATTGAAAAAACCCAAATCTGCACTGCCATGTAACTACAGTGAAGGCATACCTGAGATCCTTCCACGATTAGTATTAATATTGCAACTACTGCATTTCATCCCTTTCTAAAGCTGCAATGTTTATCTATGACTGAAGTATATACGGTTTCCATTAAGTTTTCAATCACCAAATCAATCCAGGAACTGCAGTAACAGCCTCACAGTCAGAAATACAGGTGTAAGTAATTTCCACAACTGAGAAATAAATCTGCAGACACACAAAGAGGAAGAAATTGCTGCTCTCCAGAAGAGGACTTTGACAGCAGCTCATCACTCTCACTGAAAGCTGGGAGCTAACTTGTCAGCTAATAACGCACCCTGTAAAATTACACATAAAATGCTAAAATTAAAATAAATGCTATGAACATTTGCTTTTGAAGGTAACATGCTGACTACATTCTCATTCCTGACACTCAGGGCCATACAAGAAGGCCAGTGCAAATCCAAACATTATCAGTTTTTCTTCTCTAAGGGTAGCAGTAGCGTGCAACACAAGTCAACTTGGTGTGCTTATCATATAATGGTATTACCCACACCCACTGAAACTCCCAGTCAGTCTTGATTCGGATGCAGGCAAAGCTCTCAAAAAATATAAGGCAGGCAACACCCTTAAAAAAACTATGCCTTGCAGCTGAGGGAGAAAGCAGGAAATCAAAGCACAAAACAAGAATGAAATAATCAAATCAGTAAAGACAGATCTTCAGAGCAAAAGAGGTTCTGGGGAAGTCAAGACACCAAAGCAGGGAAACCTTCAAAGAACCACAATCACAGCATGTCACGAAGGTTGCTAGGCAGGAGTCCTGACACCAGGTAACTTACTGAACACGTATGTATTGCTTTAAGTGACTGCAAGAAAGACCAACAATAACGCTTTTGGGCTGGGGCTTTTAAAATAGAAAAGAAGTGTTGAAATACTTTCCCTGTTATAGCTGACAAACAGATCAAGTTTCAAATTGGAGAGAAATTTAGACAGTATGGGCTTGAAATACCCTGAAATAAAAGGAAGCTGAATACCTTCTTGAATTTCACTTCAGACAAAATCAGGTTAAAAAAAGAGTAAGTAAATACAACAATAAGAAATCACTGCTCCTGATTGCTCCCAACCCTCTTCTCAGTTTAGATGGGAAGAAGCTGACATGTTTCGTTACTCTTTCTCATTCAATCAGGATAGCAGGGATATGTATACTAACAGCATCTTGAAACTAATCCAGTGAAGTTCAGTGACTTATTTTGAAATTCATTGAGATGGGAGTCAGTTGTAGGAAGGGGAGATAACTACTCTACCAGTGCTTCCCCTGGTAATTCGAGAGTTTTGAAAAGCCTCTTACAGCATAGAGATGCTGGACATGAAGCTCAGCATTTATGCACTGGCAAAGGCAATCTGGACAAATGGTCCCCAGCAGGTCAAGGATGATGTATGTGCTCATTCACTGCATGGGACAAGGCAACTAGCACTTCCCGAACACCATCGTGGGAAGAGCTATGCCTGCAGCAGTTAACTCATCCAGGCAACTGCCAACACTTGTTTGGTACCTCAGACTGGTCTTTTCAGGATAATTTGAGTGATGTCCTTTGTCAGCTGTGGCAATAGAAGAGCACCCTCTGAGCATGCCCCTTCTGAACGTGAGAACTTCTGAACAAGTGTGCTTCCACAACAGGTCCCACAGAAGTGCTAATTATTCTCCAACAGAGGAGCACCTTGCTCCCCTGAAACATCCCTAACAGGCACACAATCTTTGAGATCTGTGATTTGCCACCCAGAGCCTATGCCTTCACTTGGAGAAGCAGCAGCAATTCCTGAGGCAGCTGTCCTGAGCTGTTTCATGCTCAAAGGAGCATCAAACACATCCTAACAGAGTGTTAGGGAGCTGCTGGACTCATGATGCATCTCACTAACTCAGCACGTGCCAGGAGCTAGAGGGTTTTTGGAAGAAAACGCAGGTTTGTTCTGTGAACATGGGTAACAAGAAGGACCACGAGGCCAGAGCACTGAGTTTCCTTGACACAGATGATGTGAGAAATAGTTTAAGATAATTGTTGGTTCTGCCTTTGAGGAAGAATCTGGGCAGAGAAAAAGACCATATAGCGATGTATTTGGTGCTTTTGGTGGGGACCTGCAGACACTTGATTTCCAGCAGATGACTGAGAATGGCAAAACATCCAGCAAGGATGTGAATGGTGTAAAAGGAGTCACATGTGAAGACACCAGACCAGTACCTGCACATTCAGGACCTAGGTGCTAAACTAATTATCACATACCATCATCAGGCAAGGAAAAACAGAACAAAACACTTTATGCACAGCAGACTGCAAGGCAGGTACCACACCACAAACATTCCTCTTCATGCCTTGTGCTGAGTCACAGCTGTGGCCCACAGTCCTGAAATGGAAAACCTTCTTCCATCACTTAAAATACTGAAGAAAGGGACTAGAAGGTGCTGCTATAACCTGGGTTCTTTCACTCAAGAAGCTCTGTATTAAACTGTTACTTAGAGGTGCTTTAAAAATTAAAAAGTGAGAAAGTTTAATTCTGACATATTAAAAGAGCATACCACTGTTTAAAAGATAAACTTAGTTAACATCAGAAAAATCATACTGAAAGACTATTTAAGATGTTTGTGATTAACTTTTGTTAGTAATAATAACACATCTTTTGTTAGTAATAATAACACATCTTCACTTAAGCTTTGGGACACTTGCGAAATATCTAACAATAGACCTGAATCAAAGTTCAAAACGAGTCTTCCAGCAAAATCAAGCCCATCCAGACTGTTTAATTTCTGTTATTTCTTATGCTGGAAGCATTAAAACTCCATGACTTTCAAGTGGGTGCTGTACTTCACCTTCTCCCACTAGCAAGCAAATTCACTAACAAGAAAAATAAGTCACTGAAAAAAACCAATCCACAAAAGCAAGCTAATGCCTCATCTCTGCCTGGGCACTTTTGTAAGTCCATTCAGTGTATCTGGGTCACACAGACCCAGGGTCATGCAGTTTATGCAGAAACAGGACTCCTGCTATAGCTTCTGCACATGAGAACACATGGCTCTTGCTAGCAACCAGCTCCCCTCCCCAAAACCAAACCTATGTGTTCCAAGCAGAAATTTCAAGAGCAACCTGTAAGGTTGAGAAAAGCACAGTTGAAAACATTTAATTTTCGTGAGTTATTATTTTGCCTACCTTTTATTTCCTTTCCTATTGTATTTAGGCACCAAAAAAAAAAAGGCTTTACAAGAGCATAATAACCAAAATATAAATTGGAAAATACTTCAGTAACTGGAAAATACTTAAAAAAAATTCTCTCATTCTTAAAGAGCTGTTAAACATTCACTCTAGATGGCAGCAGAACATTACCCTGGCTAGACACATGATTTCATTTCAGCACAAAGATCTTAAAAGGACAGATGCTTAATTCAAGAGACAAGTCAAAATATCCGTATGCATGATATCACAAATAAGTGTAGCAACGATAACACACCACAAATTTTTCGATTTCAGCTTTTCACTTTCTGTGCACTTAGTGTTTCAAGAACAGTTAACAAATTGCCCTGCACCAGTAAAGAGAAGTTTCTGCTTTTTGCACACAGTGTGCATTTCAAAACCTCTAACCTGTCCCATAAATAGCAAGAAGTTACAGTATTGCCACAAAAGCCAGTAAAAATTAGCAATAATATGCTTCAGTGAATTACAACACTAGGTTAAATATACTCATCAATTAGTTGCACTCCAAGTTGAAATTTTTACCTGATTCGGTTTGCAAATTTTCTGATATTCGAAAACAGTGCAATTTGCTGAAGTTGCGAGAAAATAACTGCACACAACTCGGAGGAAGAATCATATTCCTTAATCTTCCAAAGGTACATTCTGGTGTGACAATTATGTAGCAAGCAGCATGAGCCTATAAATAACAGCATCAGTTAAGAACTTAAGTGATACACAAAGAAAGCAAATCTGTTTATAACAAAATGTGACTGGAATTGCATAACTCAGGTTAGGACATACATAGATCTTTTGTTAATCGCTTTCATGAAATGAATGGCTCATTTTTTCACCCTAGATTTTCATTTGTTCATTTCAGTTTTTATATAACCAACAGCGGGAAGTCTTAATATGTGAAGAACTTTCAAGGATCACAAATCTGGTCTATCAAAAACTAAAGGTTTTTATACAGCAATATGGAGAAGTTTAAAGTTTTGGTCTCAAACTCGGAATCTTCCATTCCATATAGATATTTACTGGGGCAAATGGGAAAGGGGCACAGGTTAAGTTGAATAGCTTGAAAATAGCAGTATCCTCTTACCCACTTGCTGATTCAGAGATAACAGTGTTTTAAGTTTTATTCCAAAATGTGACTGGTTGGTTTCTGCCTTTATACTGCTGCAAGATCTTCTACCATTATTGAATACACTTACCTTGGTATCTATGGCCATATAGCATGTTACATTTGTTAGACTCTTCTCAAAGACAGTCCCTCCCACCTTGGAAATTATGAACCAGATTAAAATACAAACCCCACAACATTAAAAAAAAATTCAAATCATACCTGAAATACTGAATAACCTCAGAGTTTTATTTTAAATTATTATTACACAGAGTACCTCATCTTGCATTAAGTGTCAAATTAATGATATATTACATATACTTTTCAGTTCCCACCTCATCAGGTGTTGCTTTGCACTTTCATCATATTTTAACACGAGGTGGCATTAAGTGGGTGGGCCAATTGTTATCTACACAGCTCACTGTGTATCAGTATGTGAAAACCTGTGGCTTCCATGAAGATTACTGAAGCGCACCATCACCTTGCACAGGAAACAGACATGTGTCATATGAACGGCAAAACACAGAAACTGATACTGACAACTTAAAAAAATCCCAACCACACAGGCTAAGACCTATTCTATACTGAAATATGAGTAAACATATTAGAATGATAAGTTTTTTCTTTGACCTTGCAGAATTTACGTGACTTGAAAGAAATTCTGATTTAACAAAGAAATAGTGACTTCAGGCTTCTAAGCACAAATTCATATTGATTAGCCCCTGCTAAATTTTAATTCCACTGGATTTACATAAAGCTTAACTGCAATTTTGAGAGTTGCTCATTAAAATGACTGTGAGGAAGATTTTCCATCTAACACATAAATATATATATTTATATAAATTAAGTGTATTTACAAAGTGTACATAAAATATATTTATACAGTGTACAAATAAATTGTATCAAGTGTTTAAACAAGCACATGCACCTATATATATGGTTCCCACAAATATATGCAGCAGCATAACATACCAGGATGCCACACCATTCACATCTCATGCCAGAGAGCACCTCAGAAGACCCACAGGTTTTTTTGCAAACTTCACAACGAGCACTTGAAGAAAGATTTCCCTCTCTCCAGTGGTGGTGGTAAGTATCCTGAGGGAACACACCATGACTTAGCATTACATCAAACAGATACAGAAGCATCTTCAACCCAAGTTTAAAATCAGCAATTCAAACAGCTCTGAAGAAACAGTAACACAGACTAGAACATTAAGTTTTTCTCAAGATAAACAGGAATCTGAACAATCTCACATTTCGCCAAAAGAAGTTTGTTAACACTATCAGAAGCTTATCACAGTGTTTTTTCTTCCTAGGCCACTAAAAAAAAAAAATCCTTTAAAAAAAATCCTGAAATATCAGTATCTTGCAGTATGTTACTGTAAGGAAGGTAAGAAACTAGGCAGTTTTGCCTTGGTCAGACTGCAGGACGAGATAGTGTTAGCCAGGGATGCAGTGCAGCCAACAGCTCAACACACAGAGAAAAAAGAGTTCCATGCCAGCTTCTGCAATGCAAATTTTAAAAGAAGATGTTCAATTTTTTAAAAATTTTTAACTGGGACATTGTATGTATTGCACAGACTTTTCAGCAAGGGTTCAAAAGCATAGCGAATATATCAGCATTTAAGTTCATTTCGCTGTCTGTGAGACATTCTGAAAGCATACATTTCCTTTGCCTGCCAATAAAAGTGCATTGATAACTGGCAGCATGTGAAAGACTCCCCCTCCTCTAGTCCAGGTTTTCACACCAAAAATGCATGACCACTTTGCCCTGCAGAGGCATCTGCACTTACGTGGTCCAGGTGCCCATCCTGGTGACACTGTCGACAGTCACTGCAAGCAAACAGGATACAGTCTGTGTGCACATGTAGCTCACAAACTAAAAGCGTAAAAACAAGAAAATTTCCTTAGGCTGGAAACCATAGGGTTTTCCACATCTCCTTCCTCCCTCCCTCCCTCATGGCCTCCATCTCTCCAATACTCCTCCACTTTTTCATACCATACTTTCTCTCCTTCACGCTCTTTACATTCAGCAAAGATAGACAATAAAGAAGTTTAACAGCATTGTCCTGTGTGTTGCTCCACTTGCTCTGTGTTAAAAAGATGTAGCAAGTATAAGGGAAGGCTGAGCTAATTTTGCACATAAGAAGCATTTGTCATATTTCCTCCAACACAGCAAGTTAAATTTGTACAACTGCTTGGCTTTGTCTTGCAGTTCCACAGGAACTGTTGCCTACTCCAATATAATTGTGCCTGCAGACTACTTTGATTTAACCAAATACAAAAAAACATCAGATGATAGAAGCATTAACAGAATTATCTTTCTGCATCCAAATATCATCAAGTCCTGACTACGAAACAACGGTCTTCCCGAATCAATATTCCACTCCCTTTAGAAAGCCTCTTCCAAGCCCTGCTGCAGAGCAGGCAAGCACTTGATGAAAGAGTTCAAAGCAGCAGATGCTTTTCTGCTCTCCACCCCTGGAGCTGTTAGGGGCACAAGGAAACAAAAGACAAGGTATGTTTTAGTACCAGCCCCAGCAAAGCAAGGGGTATGGCGCCAAAAGAGCAGGAAGGCTGTAGCCACCTCTCCTGCTCACAGCCATGGTCCACGGGAGACACGTCAGAGGTGAGATCAGCCATGGACCCACACGGCATTGTCTGCACCAGCATGGACTTGCTGTGTTTGTGAAGTGAGATGACATCAGAACATGCAGAATGACTGGAGAATGTCAATCCCAGGGAGACTGCAACAGCCAGAAAGCATGTTTTACTGAGGAAATAAATCCTTTTTATTGAGAGATGATGCTCAATCCATTTAATTTTAGATATGATCCAAATTAATCTCTGATAATTGTCCAAAGTATGTCTGTAATCACCATTTAATCACTGTTTCATTTTCATGGAAAGGAAATAATTTTTTCAGAAAACTCTCCTAAGTAAGCTTAACATTGCCTTCCAAAATACATGTTAGATACTACGGGAGCTAAAAGAAAACGGAACTGCACACACACAGAGTTTGATTTCGGGACTTGTCCACTGATCGTTATTCGGTGTTCCCATTTTATTCAAATCCCCTCGTAAACAGCACCTGCTGTTTTTCTTTTAGTTAACTGGAATTCCCAGGATTGTCCTAAACCAGTGCCTCAACCCCACACATCCACCTCACATCACACGGTGGCTGTGCTCAGCCACGAGAGAAAAACACATGCCATCATGCAGACCACTCAAAGTGGTTTTCAACTTTGAGAAACACAACATTCTCTCTTTCAAAGCACTTAGCCAAGGTCGATCCTCCCTTTTGATTCCGATTAACTAAATGCAGGTGCAGAGCGACGCAGCTTCTTCTCATAGACACTGTAAGTGGAAGAAGTTTTAGAGAACCTTATAAAGGTTTAGGCAAGTTTTGGTTTTAAAATAATTTCATTATCTAAAAGCTGACTGGAAATATCATATGTGAAATAAAAGAATCTGCAGCTGTGCTGCAAAGGACGACTTACTAAAAAAATACTACTAAAAGATCTCAATACAAAGCTTCGTTACTGCCAGAGTTAGGAAGGTTCTTCATGGACCTCACAGACAGAGATGGATAAAAAAGATTCTCCTGTAGCTGATTTGTAAATACTTGTGTATACAAGTGTTCAGGGAAGGCATCTGATTTTTCATTAAGTAAATGAAAGCAAGAGACAAGCATCAAATTCTTAAAATATTTTTCTATTCTGGTCAAACAGGTTATTTCTCCAAGTATATTAAAAAAACATGAAAACTGTAACCTGAAGATTGGAAGACAGCAACTCCACACATTAACTACATTATCTGAAAATACCTTGAAAACAGTATTAAACAAAATAGAGAATAATACGTTATTTTGAAATCACTCTCTGGACTCTAGAAAAGGTGATCACAACTAATACTGCCTTTTTCTAAGACCACAGAAGATCATAATCTACCACCACACAAAGAAGACTCTTGCCCAAGTCAACCACAAACTTTCATGTACAGCTGCCCATATTGTGTGTCCTCGCTGCACTCAGGAACTTCTATATAAGCTGTGACAGTCCCTCCTTCACTCACATTTCTCCATATATTCCCGTTAGATATAACAGGAATATTTTACCATTTTGCCAGTTCAACTAGCAGGCAAGCTAGATGCTTTGAGTCATATCCTTGGTAATGATAAAAGTATCTGTAGACCAAGTTACAGCTTCAAGGAACTAACAAAAGCATTGGGGTTTTTGTTGTTAATTTTGCTAGCTCAGGCATACTCTTTCCTTTGCTATGCTCTGTAAGAAGACAGAGGGGTTTTTACCCTTAGTTTAATTCACATCTGTTGCTCCTAACACCAACCTGAACTCAGAACTAACAAGAAATGTGTTCACATGAATGGCAAGAATGTCTCAGGAGTTAATCCCTTCCCCAGCTATCCTGCTATGGGAAAGATGAAGTTTTTGAATGAAAAGATAAATTCAAATCAGAGGCCCTACAAAAACAAAAATTCATCTTTATCAGCCCTTCCATAGTTCTTTAACTCATAAAAGAATTATGATCTTCTGTTCAAGCTAGTCAGGAAAGTGGATTTCTCTATGATTGCCAAAAAACCCAAGCTGATTAATTTCAGATACATAAACTTGGAAGAAGAATGTTTAAAATGTTAGCTGCCTCCTTCTTCAGTAAATCTGCTGCTCCTGGTCAATGCTTAATAAGAAACTTTTGTAAAGGATTCAACACTACAAAAATGTTTGGGTTACTCCTATTTATCTTCCTTACTTTCTAGCCCTTCTCAGAAAGAAAAGGGAGAGCGACTCTCACCATCATGAGTCCAAGTTCAACTGATACCAGAATTCTGGTAAAATAGCTATCCAAAGCAATTAGTAATTCCAAATCAGCAGAATTTGGAGTGCAACTATTGTAATTTTTGCCAATGAACTGCATGCACTTATCTCACCAGGGGTTAATACACATGAATGCTCATTTCTGAGAACAGACGACCCCCTGTGCACCCTCAGCATTTAATACTTGCCTGAAAACTTTCAATTTCCTCTCAGGAAAATTTGTTTTTTCTTAATTATGATTAAGAGTCCAGGAAAAGTTCTTAATTTCAGTATCAGATGAGAACATCACAACCAACAGTAGACTTGTAATGTTAAGCTAAGTCATTAGAAGTAAGCAAAAAACTGGAAGAAAGTTCAGCTTCCTCATCTGGATTTAAAAGTTCTACAGCTCAAAACAGTTGACTTCTAAAACAAATTCTAAAAGCATTTTGAGGAGTAAAGGAAGAATCTTGTTCATTTTATGAACTTCAACTGCCCCTTTTAAGTTACATTTTAGAAAAGCATCAGAGAAACAAGTTGTAGCCTTGCTGGTATTTGGAAAAAGGAATACAAAACAAGTCACACCACACAAAATAAGAAAACTGTTTAATATATTTGAGGAACACAATTCAGAATGAACCCAGTAACCGTTACACTTGATGGGGCCCTGCTCTCCTGGAGATGGATAAACACCTGCCTGCCCATGGGAAGCAGTGAATTAATTCCTTGTTCTGCTTTGCTTGTGTGTGTGGCTTTTGCTTTCCTTGTTAATCTGGCTTTATCTCATCCCATTTGCTCTCTAGCTGTTACCCTTCTGACTCCCTCCCTGATCCTGCTGGTGGGGGAGTGAGTGAGCATCTGTGTGGGACTTGGTTACCAGCTGGGGTTAAACCATGACAAATGGATACAATCCTAATACAGCAGAATTGAGAAAGCAAGAACTTAAAAGAAAAATTTAGAAAGCTTGAACTAAAACTGCTCACTAAACGGAAGCTATTTTCAACAGTTAAGAGGGTATAGCTGGCAAAATTTTTCAAATTTTCTATCTCATGCCACACAAGTTTATTAAGACAGATGACCAGAAAATTCTCTGTATCTCTTTGACCATTCCACCAAACCATCCAACTCACTGTGGTAACTATATTAAGTGACAAGTTCCCACTAGTCAGAAGAACATAGTTTGGTTTCATTATGCAACTCAGCAGACAAAAGCAGAAACAGAAATACTGCACCATTATAAGTCTAAATACCCTGATCAAAGAGGAATGTTCCCCCTACAGATAAAACCATATTAAATAAGACATTATCTTTAGCATAACAGCTATTTTGAAAGCACTTCAATCCCCTGCAGAATTGGTTCTTCACTGATTAGACTTTTTTTTTTTTTTAAACAGTTCACAGGTAATATTCCTTTAAAATACTAAATTCTATTTAACCTCACAACATCAACCGAAGAACAACTAATAGACATTTAAGACAAAGGAGACAAGAGAGAACTAAGGAGCTACCCTACATCAAAAATCAGTCAAGTACTCATGCCAATACATATTTCAAATAAAAATTCTGGCGTTTGGGTGATTTCTTTAATTACTGTTTTTTCAGAGAATCCATGTCAGAACACTCAGAGCAGTACTATTTTGACAAATAATATTTTCAAATATCTTTCCATTGAAGGTATCTCATCCTCATTATAAGTAACAGATATTTGAAACTAGTAACACAGGAAATTCTACATTCTTTTCTAGAAACATGAATACCTGATGATTCCCTGTATCAAAAGCTTCCACTGGAAACAGAAATAAATTACCTCAACAGAACAAGTCTTTTGTCATAATAGCTTCTCATCCTTTGCACATCTCAGGTATGGATTCATTGCACACCAGCACCACCACAGACTTATTTGGAGGAAAGATGAAAAGAGTGTATAGGTTTGACAGAGTTCGTGCTTTATTCAAGGTGATTTATTTATTATTCCTTAATCTGAAATTTTCACGATCAGTGAACAGATAATAAACAAACCAGAAACTTCTCAAATGCTGCAAGAGCATGTGTGTGTACACCCACACACCCTTCGAGGCATGCAGTGTAAGGAAAGCGCACTGTCACTGGAGAACACACAGACGGCTGTACAAGGAGGGTTTAAGTTACCTTCACATCGAAAGGCAGGTGACTCCAGTGACTTCCTGCACACAGTGCAAAACTTTCTTTTGTAATGTCCTGGAGGCCCAAAACAGTGTGCAACTGGAACCTGCCAGTGAAGAATACATAAGACATCATCAACTTCAACTTCCGAAGTGTCAGTAAAATTCACAGAAGCTGCTTTATCTTGCAACATGGGGCAGTATATACAATATAGACTTAACTAAGCACAAGAATAAATGCACAGGCAAATCATCCTTTAAAAGAAATCATACTTAAAATATATTTTAAATACCTTAACTGTTTTTTAAATCCTTGGGAATTAATATGTGTTGTATATATTTTTCAGTGCTGATCAGCTTCTTGATGATTCACAGCAACATGAACCAAAAGGCTTCCTTTGGGACTTACCTGCAAACACATTTCTTCTCCTAAGTATTCTTAATTGAATCAAGGACAATTAAAGAGTAACAGTTGCAATGGCAAACAAAATACCCTAAAGGCACACTCAAGACAGTTTTTAAAATCTCAGTGTTGCCATGGCTCAGTACTCTCCACATGCCTTCCACCTCTTCTCCCAGTACAGCCCAGCCAACTGGCTGGTCAGGACAAAGGCACTGATTAGTCTTGCCCCACCCCATCCAAAACTCCAAAGGCTGAATGGTACAGAGATCCATCTCCTAAGTACATCCATACAGAGGTTCCTGTTGACTGTAGGTGCAAGATGACACATTACAATACCCTCTTGCAAGAGCTTTATCAATAGCTTTAGCAAAAGTATTTCACTTATCTGAAAATGCAGGGTTTTTTTCTTGCTTAGTGATTAATAATGAAGATGACAGTACCAAAAGAACTACAGAAGAAGAGAAGAAAAATGAAGACTACGAAACATCCTTAAGCTTTAGAATTGTTCTAGAGACCTCTTCCTACAAGATGCACAGCTTTGTTAAACTGACATTCACATTAGAAGGATGGAACCTAATGGTATGTTTAAAGCCCTAGAATCCAAATGAGTTCCATAGGAGGTTGCCATGATTTAGGTATTTAGTATTACACATCTCACAGGCCCTTCTTGCTATGACAAACACATCAGACTTGTCTTCTAGTTCTTGCATCACCAAAAAAAATATAAATATTTCCAGTAAAAGCTGACAAATTATTATTTAGGCATGACATGAAATTTATCATTTCTGGTAAAAAGTTGGAAATAATGACTAGAGATACACGTAGTCACAGACAGCTTCTTTTCTTCCCAGATGGACATTAAAACAAGCCTCCAAAGTTATTCAGCAGAATTTGAATTTTTCTACTATATTAGGGTTTTCCTGAGAACCACTAGTAGCAAATCTGACACATGATTTGATGACCCCAGGGAGTCACTTCCAGTTATAAAGGTCTAATATTCCCATGTGTATTTCTGCCTCCAAAAGCGTAGGGACAGTGACACTAAACAATCCTATATTTCAAGCAGGCACAAAGAAAGCAGTGAGATAAAGTTTTGCCAGATGAAATACAAGGAGGAAAGAACATTGCTGGAAGTTTGACTAAGAAAAATCAGTAACCCCCAAACTGCAAAGCATGCAGTTCCTCCAGTCCTCCTCAGAATTAAGCCTTGGGAAATAAAGGAGGATAAAGAGAGGTACAAAATATGCCTGTGTTATCCAACATGAACAAGATCATGCACAGCATCTGACCAGTGAAAGAGAGTCACCAACTCACTGCCTCAGCAGACCGTGTTGTCTGAAGCAATTCTTGGTCCCTGACTGATCAGGGAACTGCCTTTCCAGATCTCAAGCTCCACACCAGGCTGGGCTGCCAGCTAGCCTACCAAAAGGATTTCCTATCAGTATCTGCAATATGATATATCAAAAAACATCATTGCCTCCAAAAGCTTTAATTCTTAACCTAACGTACAAGTTTAGGTTTTAAAAACACAGACAAATCCTTCTTGTGGGTCCATATCCTACCCCCATCATTCTCTGCAGCCCTCCAGCTCTAACTGACATAAAGTACATAGTTGATTTGCACTATTTTTGTTTTTTTAAATCAGAATTCTCTAGTCATACAATGCATGTTTACAAAAAGAATAATAAAAAAAAGAATGTTCTTGGTGAGAAAAAAATATTCTGGAGAGCCTGGGGAACTTCAATTTAACTATCTCAGATTAAGCTCAAGGCTCATAATCCCTGCCCACTCTCCTTGCACTTTCATCTTACTTCTTCAAGAGAGGAAAAAACCAAACCTTTCTGTAGAGTAATATACAAGTTGTCTGGCTCAGCTAATGTGGAGGTAGTGTCAGAGTTGCATTCTTGCTCTAGCTGCTCCAAAAATTAAGGTTTGGTAGGAGAAGGCTAGTTCCACGAAATTCACCCTACAAAATGAATTGATGTGCAGAAAGAGATGATGAGAACAGCTTTGTGAGCACAATCTCAGCCAGACACTGCAATTGCAAGGAGTACTGAAAAGCCCTTTTGGGATTTTTTTCCAGTAAGCTTTTCTGCACATCCCAACGTGTCTTCAGGTTTCAAGTGTCACCTTTAAGTCATGTGCCCGCCCTACCCCTGCCACAGCCCCAGGCACAGTGGAGCCAGATGTCCCCAAGGCAGAATTCCCCTTGAAATCAGACACAGAGGAGACCTCCTTTAGCTCTGAATTGGTGCACAAACTGTGTTGGACACCCAGAATGAGGAACCAACCCCTTCAACAACCTGTGTTTGAAACATAGGGGACTCTTTTTTGCTGGCCATGAGCCTGACAGAAGTCAAACTTATTCAGGGTCTGATTGTACTTATCTAGAAAACTCAAAGGAAGAAGACCAAGTCTAAATTCTGCAGTTGTTCAGACCACAGTGACAATCCTCCGAAGTCTCAAGTCATTGCCAAAAAGAAGGGAAAAATTTGCTGATTGAAATTTTAAGGTAGGTGGGGGGAGAGAAAGGAGAAAAAAAAGGAAAAAATTTGTTTCTTCAACTTCTTCCTTTATGAAACAAGTCAAAGAATCTTTGTTTATTATATGTGTTATTATTAACTTGCCTTAGAAGTGACAGTTTTTAAACCGCTGCAGAGTCCGATGGAAAATGGGATAAGAATAAGACAGAAAGAGAGAAAAAGTAAGAGCAAGTACAACACAACGAACACATCAATTACATAATGCTTCTCTCAATATTTTCTGTTGCTGAACAAGTTCCAAGCACCCAATACATTAGGGGGAAAAAAAAGAAATCAAAACTGAGACTGGGAAAGCCAGTGAGGCAGCATGTCAGAATACGAAATGTTACATATTATTCCTTAGTTTATATCCACCTGTATAAGTGCAGGAAAGTACAGAGACATAAGGTGGCCTACAGAGAAAAAGTTAATAATTTATGAGAGTTTAAAACCATTTTTGCAACACAACTACTTAAATTACCTTATGAAAACCACTAAAATCAATTTCCACAGAAAAATAGAGAAAATTTCTACTAGTAATACCATTAAATGACATCTAAGTGCCCTTGCAATATTGATCCGAAGCACATCAACAGAAAGTATAATGGAACACTCTGCCATAACCTCCAGAATGACTCTGCACTCATGGACAAGATACTCCTAGTTCCTGTTCTGTTTCCTGCCCTCTGTTAAGAAATGCAAGGCATTAGAAAATGTAACACATTTCTGTAAAAGTTCCTATCAATCTGTAATAAAATTTGATCCTATAGAAACCTAAAACTTAAATTCTAACTCCTTCAGTGCAACCTGTGCAAATGAATGGCCATTCTGCATCATAAGAAAAGAACAGCAACAAACTGCTCTTAACATCCAAACTTTGGAAGAAAAAGAAAGGATAGAATTGTTTTGTTTTGGTAGTACCATTTAAAGTTGTTCCTTATCCTGAAAGGCCACAGGGTATCAAACATATGGCCAACAGTTTATCATGAATTTAAGTGCCCTGCCACTAAGGCGGAATCACTGTGTACAGAGCAGCCCAGCTACCATCCACACCCTCTGATTTGTGGGTAGAGTCAGGCCAGGTCATCTTACTGATCTGCAGCCTTCAGGATACTCCAGTAAGGGAAAAAATACGGCTCCAGGAAGGCCTGTTTTTCACCCAGCAGCAGTTTCTTTTCTACCAGCTCAAGCAGAAGGAAGTTTTAGTTCAAATTCTAAGGCAAAAACTTCCAGGCTCAAAGGGGAATGAGAGAAATACAGGTATACCAAACGCCAAAGTGACAGCTGCTGTCTTGGGCAGTCTAAAAAAAGAACTACCTACTAAAAACTTTTTTTAGTCCTACATCTAGATATTATTTTGCCCATGTATCTTCTTCCCCATCACATCAGGGTGACTTGCACTTGGCGTGACTTTGTAACACACACCAGAGAGAGTGAGAAAGCAGGTCAGCAGGACCTGAAGTAGTGTGGAGCTGAACAGCTTCCAAACAGGAAAGGTACACAGAAAGAAGTATACAAACACTCTCAACAACAGCCTCTAGAGACTGAGTAAAAGGAATTTAACTCGAGGTCACTAGTTTTCAGTTCGAAAATGCTGTCGCATTTTAAGGATAAGCACAAGGAGCTTGGAAACAACCATCTTCTTTAAATGCCCAGAAGGGTAGTTGCATGGGGTCATTCACCAAGACTGCTTTAACACAGGACCAAAAATAATTTGCTAGTAACAATTAAAATGGTGTTCCTGAAACAAAAACATGTAGGGATTCTGATGTTTCAATGCAAAAGTACTTCCCTATCTAAAGTTTCTAATGTTCACTCCAACACATAAACCTTTGCTCTAGGGAGGTAGATAGGGTGATCACACCTGACTACACCCCATGACTGTTCTGTCCAGGTTAATATTCTAGACTATATCCTCTCTGAGAGAAGCTATCAACTTTGTGATTCAACTTTTCCCAGTATTGACATATTTTCAATTACTTCCTTGTTACTCAGTAATCACAAAGAGCCCTTTTATTTGTTTGAAACCTCTCTGATTTAGAAGCAAAATATTTCTGCAACTTGAACACACTGTTTGCTCTTGAATGCTCTCCCTATTTTTTTCTCCTTTTAGGGACAATGCCTATCAGTTGTGTTCAAACTGACATTCTTCCTCTGAGCCCTTGATATATCAATTGGTGTTTAAAGGCAACTTAAGTACACATTCTGTATGGTAGTTCTGAAGTGAGATAAGAATACAAGGTTAAATGGTGTCCCAACATACCACAGAACAGGAGAGACAAGAAAACCAATTACTTAGTTATCAAAATATTAATTGGGGCTAATGCAAGGGAATAATGCACATATTCATACACAATCTCACCATATCCAGGATTATTTTTCTCTGTCCTACAGATCTCTGTGATAGGACATTTGGCCTTATCTACTCTAAACTCTCAAGGACCCTTTGAATGGGAACTATATAATTTCAAACCAGGAATATATGATACTTCTACTCAAAAGTAAGACTTACATAAAAGCTTTCCACTGCAACTAAGAGTTGCTTGGACTAGTATTTTTTGTACTGGAAAGAAAAAATGACATGTAAAAGTCAGTCACTTCTTGCTTTTACTGCTACAGAGGATATCAATGTCCATCTCCTTTTATCAAGACAAAGAGTTAAAAAAAACAACACTGTGATATTCCACAATGCTTCTGAAACTGAGGAGTCACTAATAGAGCTTTACAGGCTCCCAGGCAGCTTGCATCAAGTTTCAATAGAGCATAATAAGCTCTCCTGAGTTTATGAACTTAGGAGGTGCTAGCCCTTCCTTCCCTTTAACCCCGAGGGAAGGGTTTAACCCCTCCCTTTAACTCTGAGGTTCCTCTTCAGGGAGGAAAAGGAGGAAATATCAGTGCAGTGCCAAGATTACCAGTTTTAAACTTCATTTGGATTCAATATTATGCCTTGTGGCTGTTTGACTCCAAGCTACTGCCTTGCTGAAACAACACAAGCATGAGTCAAGTGTTGGAGAACTAGAGACAGACCTTCTTGCTAGAAGGTGGTCAGCGCTATCCAGCAAGCGCCCAGGTAAAATCACAGAACTGTGAAATGGTTGGGGCTGGAAGGGGCCTTTAAAGGCCACTAAGTCCAAACGCCCCTGCAGTGAGGAGAGACATCTTAACTAGATCCGGATGTTCAGAGCCCCATGCAAACTGGCCTTAAGCACTTCCAGGGATGGACCATCTACCACCTCTCTAGGCAAACTGAGCCATCATTTCACGACACTTATAGTAAAAAATTTCTTCCTTAAATCTAATCTGAATCTATCCCCCTTTTAGTTTAAAACCATTACCCCACCTTGTCCTACCACTACAGGCTCTGCTAGAAAGATCTACTTTCAGTTCGCTAGGAACTGACCCAAATAACCACCCTACCCACAGCTGAATTCAGCAACCAGAGGGAGAGACTCAGGTCAGCAGGCAAGGAAAAGAGTAGACTGCCCTGCAAGCACCACGACCTTCCCATTCACTATCACAGCCCACAAATGCAGCGGCTTTCCTTACAAAGGAAAAGTCTTATTTTTAGCATAAAAAGCTTCAGGAGAAGATAATGACCCAGACTATCATTTTTCCATTATAGTCAACCTGGCTTTAAGAATAAAAGCACACAAGGAAGTCTCGTGAGCAGTCCATAAACTCTTCTTAAAATGGAAATACTTAGGAAATCATTAGCAATGATACCAGCAATGCACCAACGCACCAATAAGGAAAAACAAGCATAGCAAATACTTAACTTCAATAAAATACCATTTTTCATATGATCTTATTTCAATTTAGTTTTCAAAGAGCAGTTATATACAAAACACACACATTGTTCTACAGCAAATCTAAGAGGTTAAAAACTTGCAATACAGCTTCAATTCCAAGCTAATAAGGGAAACTAAAACTTTACATTTCACACCCAAAGAGGTCTTATTTTTACTGTTATTTTGTTTTGTTTGGGCATTTGAGGGTGGATTTTTTTTTGTCCCGTTCCCCCCTTTTTATTTAAACATGTACCACAGAGTAGGCAAATACTTATGGGAACGTAGGAAAGAGAGGGTTTGAATTTGGAAAAGTTTCTGAGACCTTACCAGTGGAACAAATCATATCCACTGCAAACTTGTTCAGAAAACCTATCTGTGAAGGTTTGTTTTGAAACATCATGACCTGGAATACCAAATGCAGGTGACAGTGATTTACACCAGTGCAAAAAGTTCCTAGGGTAGCCTTAAGAACGAATTCCTCAAGAGTGATCTGAGACTGGATGCAGTTGTAACATGCTTATGACTCTGTGGGCCTTCACTTGACCCTGGGAAGGAAACCCTACTGTCAGGAATAAAAGCTTCCACAAAACATCTGCTGAAAAATTATTTGCTGCTGGGTTGACTTAGTATCAAATGACAGACACTCAGATGAGCTTCAACAATTGCCATCTTCTCTAAATGAAATCCAGGCAATTTAAAAAAAAAAATTCCATTTCTGTAATACACTGAATATTGACATAGCTGAAGGAACTATAAAAAAAAAAATCCTGCCAGTGTTCCCTCCTACGTCAGACCTTTTAATAAATAAATAATAAATAAACTGAAAAGAGAGATTAAGCAAATAAATTTTCCACAAATTGTATAAATGATTGTCATTTGGTTTTTGCTCTGTTATGTTTTTTAAGCAAATGCCAAGTTCAGTGTTTGGTTTGACAGAGCTTGCATGCAAAATGATATCTCCCACATGGTGGACGTCACTTGTAAAGCAGACCAGGATTAATGCAACTTGGATGGCCACGTCAAGGAGGACAAGACTGTCCAGAACGAAAAGTACAATCCAGAATTTTCAAAACATAATCGTTATAGCTCAAGACAGATAACACAAAAGGCTCTTTGCAGCTAAATACAGCAACACTGAACTGCAGACAGTTTCAAGGACTGACAATGTCACCCAAATAGCCATCCTTGCTGTGCAGTAAAATTCAGGCTTAACATTTACACATAAGATCATAAGATAAATTTTATGTTTTGAGGGAGGTAGATTATGGGGACTGACAAAAGAGCAAAAAAAGTTACACTGACATCTACAACTGATGCAAATGGAAACATTAGTAAGTTTAAATGTAGGACTTTTACCATATAAAAGCAAAGGAATAAATACTATTTTGAACAGTGAATTAAATTTAGAGCAAATCCAAAAAAGAAGCAGTCAGAAATTATTATAACTCTGACCCTCTGAATTAAATCCCTGTTTTCCAGTTGGATTTTTGCCAATCACCCCAAAGGCGCTTACAAAGACACCTGTATCATCTGACTGATTACTCCTTTTCTCATGCTACAACGACTAAGACTTACAGCAGTATTTCTTACTATTTCACTGGCAACTTTCTATGTCAACCTTTTTGATGCCTAAGGTACACCTCTCAAGTTGAAAATCACGTAAGGAAGAAGCAGCACGTTGGCAAAGCCTGCAGCATTACTATCTAGACAAAGCATATTTCAGAAAAACAGATGGGTAATTTTTCTCTGTTCAATTCCTATAACCCAAGCTATATATTGCTTAAACTTTCTTGGCTCCTGCACAGGCTTCCACAATATAAAGGAACATGGAAAATGTTTTAGGACACAAAGAAGGGAATCAGCTCCCCTTCACAGGTCTACACAATGGATTCCCATAAATGCTTTTGGTCTGCAAGGTCTGTAATGCACATGACTGATTTTACAGCCATGTCTCATCTGACTTTTGCATACGGCTCCTTAAGGTGTTTGCAGTGTTTTACTACTTCTCTAGTAAGCTTCTCATGACCTTCTTCCTATCTGTTCCTCTTCTATCATCCTTTCCCAAGTGAATAATACACTTTGTTTTCTCTTCAATTTAGCTTCTTAATATCTTAGTTGCATCCTATTATCTTCTGTAAAGTTGATTCATCTTTTACACCCTTTAGAAGCAACGTCTTAAGCATGAAGTCTTACAGGAGATAGTCACATGCCATGTGAAGACAAGTACTTTATTAATTACCAAAATAAATTTTGAAGAACTACCATCAGTTGAAGTCCTGCCCTCTTTTTTTGGCTTTGAAATCCTCTGCTTTTAATGCAATGACTTTATTTAGGATGCAGCAATCAACAGAAGACAAATGTAGTCTTTTTTTAGGCAGAGAAGCTACAGTGTCTTCCCAGTAATATGTAACTTCTGTAAAAAAAAATTGCTGATGTGCATAGTTTGTTTTTATGACACATGGTATGGTTTTCGGAGAGCACTGATATCAATCAGTCTCTCCAGTTCATTATTGTGAGACTTCCAGGTAAGGACACACAGTAAGAACACCTAGTAATATTTAAACAAAGCAAATAACTGGTCTTCAAAGACAGGCTATCTACAGCTCCCCATAGCAGGGACTTTTCAAAGGAAGTGTAGCTTTGGCTTTGAGCAACTATAAAAGCCTCAGTGATTACTAACACAATTTATGCATTACGATAAAATCCCACTGCTATACTACATCATGTTCATTTGTGATAAATTTCGGCTATTATCCAAAGAAAGAGACAAGCCACTGTGAGCTTACTCACCCTTACAAGGCTGGGAGCAATACATGAGCATGGTATCTTGACATTCTTGAGGCACTTTTCATGAGACATGAAGTTGCAAACTGTGGAAATAAAATAAGAACCATGAGCAAATCTTCACAAGCAAGGGACTTTGTGAAACACAAACAAATGAAAACCCATATGGAGTAAAAAACAAATAGGAACACATTTTTTTAATCACATTTGCTGTACTCTGGGTTTGAGAATGTACATGACTGTTGCACTTTGTGCAGTACGTGAACTCCAACATGTTTCGTTACTAAGATATTGGCAATGGAAAAGCAAAGGAGAGCTTATCCCAATGCATTACAGGCAAGTTATGTCCTCCCACACTCTCTCTCCATAAGTATCAAAACGAGCTCTTAAATTTCAAAAGAAGTTTTAAACAGTCCAAAACAGCTCTTTGATGTAGCCAAAGCAGATGGACATGCTTGAAAGTGAATTATTCTACAAGCTAGTGCATATGACATAAATAAATGGGAGAAAACAAAGTATTGTTACACACTGAGCATAGCAGATGAAGGAGACAAAATTAAAGGTTACCAGTTGCATGCAGCTTTGAAAGTCAAGAGCAACTAACTGTTTCTCTTATTACAGGTTTATAATTCCATCCAAGCACCAGAAAGCGTGCTTTCAACCATGACAGTGTTCGAAAAAATCACTTCTCATGGGGGGGCGGGATATTTTCCACAGCGTCTTACCATGGATTTGCATTACATTAAGCTGTGCAAAGAAAAGAAGGGATTCTTTATTACATTCCCGCCACCTCAGATTAATTAGGAACTAATAAGCCACGAAGCTATGGATTTAGAGTTGTCCTTATTACTCTCTACCAGTTCAAGCGTGAAGCCTTATGCAGACGCTTAGGCCCTGACCTCTTGTGTGGAAGTGCAGACCTCTCCCAGTGCCTGGGCAGAGGATCACTCGCCAGCGGCAACTGTTGCTGTACACAGGGGGTTTTCACACCTCTCTGCTTTTCAGAAGCACACTGCACCACTTGCTAACTTTCAGACGCATCTGAAAACAACTCCAAGTGCTTCAGACTTCCCATCTGTAGCCCATTGCTGCCACTGATTGTATTTGCTAGTGCCATCAAAAGCAGTCAAATTCCTCTCCTCCCCCTTCTCCTGCTCATTGACTTCTGATTGCACAACACTGCATTGCACCTTCTTCCATGCCAACTGAAGCATTAAAATCCAGGTCCACTTCTCTAAGCAACTTGCTGCCAGCCCGCGCAAAGTAATTTTTCCTTTCGGTAGCACAGAAAGAAGGATGACTACTTTCCCATTGGCACTCATCTTAATGTCAGCAGTAGGCAGAGTTTGTTTTTCATTACTCTGCAAGTCAGAAAAAGCAGCACTGCAAGTCACTACTGCGTACAAACATGTTGTTCATCATCCATGACTGAACCCAGAGTGATTACTGCACCAATGAAATAAAGTAGGAAGGAGCAGAACCAAATCTTCTGCTGGGTGACATGAAATGTTGTGCATGTCTTCAAGGCTGATGGCATTCCTGAGTGGGAATGCCCCCTAAATGGCGTAAATAAGGAGAGGAAACAGTCAAGAAAGGATGATAAAGTAGATTCTCAGAGCTGAAAATGCAAATGTTCAACATATTTGGAGGTGCTCTCTATGGTGGAAGGGGCACACAGCCCTTCAGTGCAGAGGAGACCAAAGAGAACAAAGTCATTGTCCAGGTAAAAGAAAGATCAATCTCCTGCTCCAGAAAACAGGTATAACTCCACACAGAGAACTGGTGAATTCTCATCACTTATGTATGTTGTCTCAACATGGATGTAGTGATAACATACTTAATGATAACACAACAAAACTTACCTGAGGTCTCAGCAATATTTCTGCTGATGCTTTTAGGAGGGTCACCTGCTTGCTGTGAGAGCAGGTCTGCAGAAGCTACATGAAAAAAGCCCATTACCAGTTAGTCTGAAATTTACCACATACATCCCATCACCAGTGGAAGACATCTGCCCCAGCCACCTGTTTAGGTGGCCTCTTCTCTATCCCAGAGTGGTGCCCAAAGCTCAGCTGAAACCTGGCGAGGTGAGGGGAACTGACCTCTGCAGGCAGAAGAGTCGTGACAAATGTCCTGATGGCTTCAAACCATGAAAGGCAGAGAATGACACTTTGAATATAAACTGGCAGATGTCAAGAAGTTCATGAAGAGGTGAGGTGTAGTCAAAGAGGAAGCAGCAATGACTAATGAAATTCAGTGAAATGACACTGTTTTCCCTCATTTTTTTTAATTCAGAAGCAGGCTGGCTAGAAAGGAAGGAACAGAGCAAGGTGCTGCAGACTGAACACAGAAATGTTATGATCTGCAAGGAGCAGCAGGCAACTGAAGTCTGCAAGGCCACTATCTTCAATTGGCTACCAGATTTAAGTGCACACAAACTCAATGCACAAGTAAACTGAGCCCTACACAAACAGCTCAGGGAATTCAGAGAATAACCGATCAATAGATGAGATGCTTCTTCCACAGACCTTGAGAGATGTTCTCTACTTATTCAGACAACTCAAGTCACTACACAATACCGCTCAATTTTCTATTCGCAGTGACAAACTCAGCAAAACAGGGACCTGCATAAAGACAGTAATACATGGTTCAGCTAAGGAAACACCTCATGGCACAGAAAAAATACACTAAACCAGTATCTTCAGAGAAGCAGTAGAAACAAAAAGTTTCAGACAAGGAGCGAAACAGGAAGGTGCATAAAGGTTCTAACAGTTCAAGTACATACAGAAAAAACCCAACATGCAAAAGAATTAATTCCCTAAGATTTCAACTGAAAAAATTGAAGCATTTGCATATAATCCAATTAAGGAATATCAGGAGACAAACAGTGGGAGATAAGGAGTGCCCAAACAGACACCGTAACTTTCTCCACAAAAGATTTTCACACATTTTTTTCAGGAGGTACTCACACACTCCCTCCTCTGCTTGTCACATTCCTCAGGAGGTGAATTTACTCCTACAAGTCACCATTTTGTTTTTATTTTCCCCATTCCACAAAGAAAGAAATAAACCCAAAATGGCAGCAAGTCAAACTGAAGCGCTAACAATACTGGGGGTAGAGGGCAGGGGAATCCTGAATTCATATCAATAGTCCCAGAGAGGCAACACAATTAAGCCTGAAGTTCTGACAGCCAGGAGGGGGTTTGTGTTTTCTAAAGGGTGACCTTTCATCAGGGAAAACAAGCCAGAAGACACTGTGTGTGAAGTTTCAGGAGATTAAATGCAAAATTTTGAGGAAAAAACATTTAAAGGAAGACGGCAGGCTGTTCTCTTTAGAGGAAGAGGATTTCTTGATGCTACAAACTTAGTGATGAGCTACAAGCAGACACATCTATGAATTGTCTAAGTCAAAACAAAGCAATTTCAACTGCATCTTTCAAACACGCTATACAAAACCTATGGTCTCAGTCAAGCTTGAAAGCCTGCAGCGCTCCCTCCGTTCTTTAGCTAAGCATCTTAAGCGCTGCCAAAAGTACCCAACAGCATGGATGAAGGGAGAGACAAACACACAGAGTGTATTTGAAGAAAACAGTGACTGCAACCTTCAAATTGGACTTTGAATACAAGGCACCTATATCCAGGTTTAAGCTGCATGAAGTTATTCAACACTGACAGAAAATGAAAAGCCACGATTTCAAGAGACATTGTCAGAATCTACAAATTCACTTACTTAAAGCTTTAGGGGACTTTACATGGTCTCTCCAAGCACCTATATGCTCAGGAATACAGCAACCATATTTGACGAGTTTCCCTTGTTCCCTTCCTCCATTCAATAGCAAATTACTCCCTTCTTGTGAAAGATTAGTAATTCCCACTACACAGCAAGAAGCCATGTGTCCATCAGGCACCACAGGGCTGCTCCCTGTCCACATCAAGCACAAGACGTGGCTTTACAGCAGTCTCTGCCCATAAGCCACTGCTTTTCCTACCACATTTTGTTTCCCTTGCTGTTTTGATAAAGATAAATGCAATGTGTACATATGGCAACACTAAGTGAACATGCAGCCAGTAGCCCTCCAACATACACTATAAAGGAAACAGAAAACATCTCTCTCCAGCCCTCCTTAGGAAGGTAGGAGATAAAATCTGGGAATCACTGTAACTCATGAGTTGTGTAACACATCCTAGAAAAGTGAGGGCTATTTACACCCTCCAATATATCACACTTTTTTCACATGAGCGTTTTTGTCTCTATCCTCAAGACAGACTTCAAAGCAGAACTCAAAAGCATGAAGAAAAAAGGGTGGATTATGTCCTGTACAGACTCTAGCAATGTATCAGTGTCCTATGCAAATGATGTCTGGGAGAGAATTGCTTATGATGTAATACCAAATTTAACACATAATCTTCTTTCTCTTTTTGAAGAGATCACCCAGTCCTGAGGAAAAGCGTGGAAGATGTTAAAAACTAGTTTTGTTTCCTCTTTGGGGCAATACCATATCTCAATTTTGCTGTTTTTCAAACATAAATTTGCATTTTAACATCTTGGCCTTCATTTAATTTTTATTTTATCTTTAACAATTGTATTTTTAAATCTAACTTTACATTTGTTAAACACTTTTAAAAGCAGAGCTACCAAACTGCTTTCCAAGGAGGATAAAGGAATATCAACACAAAACCACCTGGAAACGTGACACAAGACTCGCTGTGGATCTGTTCACTGTGAGAACTCATTTTGAGCTTAACAAAAGCACCTGCCAGGTAAATTGCAATTCCTCCTCCAACCCCTCTGTTGTATGGATTTGTTGTCCTGCCTGCCACCCCCTGCCCCTCTGCCTCGCGTTTCTGCCTCTCAGTTAACTTGCAGCAGGAGCCACAATCAGCATTAAGTTAATCGCAACAATTCCCTTCAGTTGAACTCACTGCAGGGTGCCATCGCTCATGGGTTTTGCACGCTGTGGTCTGCTACTCACACAGGAGCCATCAACACTGTCATGGCCACAGCTCATATTGAGGACTCCGAAAAAGAGAGAGCTTCTGCACCCGAAGACAGAGGCAAGTTCCAGCAGCTGAGCGCTCTCTCCACACA